TTGAAATTGTGTCATAGGCAATACATAGTAGGCTACAGTATAGGTGGTGGGTTATTAGCGAAAATTTCCCAAATGCTTTTAAGAAGGGTTGCAAATGGAATTTACATGTAGTGGAAGACAAAAAAAGAAAAAAAAAACTCTCCAGAACTAAATTCCAAATGGGATTACTGATATTTATCCAGGGTACATTATATTATAGTGAAAATAAAAAACAAACAACATAAACCCTCAGACTCATTGTAAGATATAAAAAATTTATTGATCTATCATAAACAGATAATTCATAATATCAATATGCATTGCACACAACATTTACATAACATTACACATTTCATTGACACAGCTGGTCATGACAAATCAAGGATGACATATCAAAAGCACAGTCTTTGAACATGAACATACATAGGCGTACAGACTCGATGAATGTTTTTTTGGGGGGGGGGGGGGGGCAGAACCTGAAATGCCTGAAAATAAAATTTGGGTAACAGACGGTCATCTGGGAGAGGCAAAGGAGCAAGATTTTTCAAAGTGATCAAGGGCCATACCTGGCAGTAATTATTGGAAATCGCTGAAAATCAATAGGCTTCCTCGTCTCATGACCTTAAACACTGTGTATAAATTTAAAGTTAATCGAATATTAACTTTGGCCTCTAGAGCGTCAACAAATTTTTTTCAAGTGATCAAGGGCCATAACTCCGACAGTAATTATCGAAAATCGCTGAAAATCAATAGGCTTCTTTGTCTCATGACCCTAAACACTGTGTATAAATTTAAAGTCAATCGGATATTAACTTTAGCCTATAGAGCGTCCACAAGCAATTGTGGACACTGGTCCGACCGACGGACGGACGGGGGCGACAACAATATACGACCACATTTCAATGTGGGCGTATAAAAATGATGACAGGAAAATGGTACTACTATTAGAAAAGGTTATTTTGAAAATCAATGATAAGAACGATTTAAAAGTATACCGGTAACCACTTTTAACCAAATTTTCGAATAAAAGACTTCATTAGTTTATATTGTCTATTTTATACCGGTAATTAAAGGGACAATAACACTCTTGCTGGCTTGACAGCTCCGGAAAATAAAAAATAGCCTTATTCTAAGTACTAGATGTGTTAGTGTCCTACCTGTTGTGTACATTATCCATTGAATCCTATTTTACTTGTCCAGAGGGTTCAAAAATATTTTTAAATCTAAGTCACATTTGAAAAGCTTTTCTTTTCAAGTTTCAACAAAATCGGATTAAAATTGTGACCTCTATAGGGTCCACACAACCTTGATATACCATATTTTAACGCTATTTGAGAATGAAGGGCGGCCATTTTGTCTGTCAATTTTGGGCCGATTTGCACAAAATTCAAACTCAGCCGTCCTTAGGGTGTAACGGTGATATAATAATACGTTTTTTTTAAATCGGATAAAAATTATGACCTCTATAGGGTCCACAAGTTAAAAACGCGATTTTTCGTACTATCAGGGGCAATAATTCAGGAAGTTATGGTCCGATATGCGCGAATATCGAAAGGAACCGAGATCTTTAGGTTATTAACTTACATTTCAAGTTTCAACAAAATCGGATAAAAATTGTGACCTCTATAGTGTCGACAAGCTAAAAACGTGATTTTTCGTACAAACAGGGGCCATAATCCATGAAGTTTCGATCCGATACATGCCAATATCGAAAGCAGCCGAGATCTTTTGGAGATAAACCTATATTTCAAGTTTTGTCAAAATCGGATAAGAATTGCGACCTGTAGAGTGTCCAAAAAAAATTGTGGAGGGACAGGGGCGACGACAATATGCGTCCACATGAAAATGTGGGCGTACAAAAATATGATATTGCAACTTTAAGATGAAATTTGTATCATCAATTAATTGGAATATTGTAAAATAGTACAATTTGTTGACCAGAATAAAGATTGGGACATATTATTCAGTTACAACAAGAGTGGTATTGAGCCTTTAACTATTTGATCAACAATACATTTGATATTATAAGGTAGACTTTTCCAAATCTTCACACCTAGAATAGTGAAAAAAAAATGTTTAACCTGCTGGAGCCTGGTGGAGTAGCCTGAGATCGAACATACAGTATAATTGGTTACTTTTATATTTATTGACAATTTCATAGGTTTTACTTAGCTTGAACATTTGAGTTCATATATGACCTTTATCTGTAAATAATATCTGGCTTTGAAAATGCGTGAATTAACCCTCAGTAAAATCAAGCGTTACCAGTCCCTGTGTTTCAAATAAACGTCCGCATTCCACACTCCTATTTTTTTTTACCTGCAAGTCTCGAATTCTGTTTCCACCTTTTCCGATTATTCTGCCAACATGTTGTTGATCAACATAGAAAGATTCTTTCTCGCCGCCTCCCCCACGATTTCCATACGACATTATACACTGGTAACTAGTAAATTGACAATACTTGAGTAAATTTTACTTCTAAGTTTTCAGTTAACTTCGTCGTTCTCCAGGAACACAAATTCCAGTTTACGCATGCGTGATTTGATTAAGTCTAGGCCATCTCGATTATCATAGTTGCAGACTTCAACTTAAAACCGGATCATTCTTGACAACCAAGTCTACGTTAAATTGCCTTGTGGTTAATTTCCACAGGGTCGTGATACCCACATTGACACCGTGAAGTATTAATTTTTTCCCGCGCTTTTTATTGCCTATCATCAGAGAAAATGTCCAATATCAACACATATATTTATGGTTACCAGCACGTGGATTAATATCTCTAACTAATGTTATAACTGGTATTAATAAAACTATGGTACATTAATGATGCAGGGAAATTGTATATATTGTCACTGGCGTATGCAATAGATAAATAGATAGATTTAATTACGTAAAACACCCTTTTCGGGCAGTATGTAAATTATACATTACGGTATGCATGATAAGCCTAAATACATTAAAAAAAATGGATGAAAAATAAATAAAAAGTGGATCAAAAATACATTTAAAAAATGGATGAAAAATATACAAATACCCCATAAACAAATTATTGTCTTACGTTATTAGGCTACTCATAGCTAGCGGTAATTGCACTCACTGACTCAATGAGAAAATGATACTCATTTTCAACTTGCTGTTGAGGGCAGTTTGTGCAAAACCACAGATGGGCAGACCTGATTCTTGTGGTAAACTACTGGGAAATAGATACTTAAGAAACCTCAGCTCTCGGCCCTGCATGTCTGAGATAAGAGGTGGTAATATATATATATATATATATATATATATATATATAGTTCTTTCTGGAAGATGCAGATGAAAATCACAGCAAACTGTCAAATTACAATTAAGCATATCATTGTACCTAACACAGGGACAAATCACCTCTTTAAAATCTAAGCATTAAAAGCTATAGTAATTATATGCCTGACATTTTAAAACAGAAGAGGTCTGATGTCTTAACGTCATGAAGATGAGCCAAATGTCATCTACAATGTCTTAGACAAAGGGAAATTCGCAAGTAGAGAAGCTGTACAGGTTGCACATGAGTAATTCACACCTGAACGAAGTCGGTGAAAAACACCACGCTTGATTAACTTAACTGACATATTTGCAGTTTAGCGAAAGTTGTGTCACTACATTGGGCCGGGTAGGCCTACGTTTAATTAAAGGAGCTAAATCGCTAACATTTGGGACCTAGAAATTCACAAAAGTGGGTCGCAACGCATATAATACTGTAATATGAATGTATATAAACTTATTTACATTTAATGGTTTCCGTTTTTACTCCAATTTCAAATCAGTTATGTTCGGCGAAATAAGTCAGCAATCTCAATCGAGTGCAAATTTCTAGCGTCTAGTTATTCTAGTCTACATAACTCCATTTGATTTGGTGCAATGTGTCTAGCCTCGTACCTCGAGTCTCTCAATACAACTGGGGCTGAAGCGCATTATGGTACACGATTCGTGTACCAATGTTAAAAAAATTATTTTATCTTAAATACCGGATATCAGAAGCTCATCTTTTCCCGGTAAGTTTACATCATCAATGTTGATTTAAATTGACCAATAATTCGTGTTTTCGATGTCGAAGATTTTGGAGGATTTTGAGTTACGGACTTAGGTCCTTTAAAGCTAATAGTATAAATTATCTTAATTTTAAGATGTTACATGCATTAATAAAGAAATTAAGTTTTTCAAGTGAAACTAAGGCATCCAATTGTAGCTAAAAACAAACACATCATCAGTAGAATAGCTACGTTCTGGGCAACAGTCTATATCTCACTATGTTATACTGGGAGAAAATCTTGAATCTTGTAGATATTGGAAGAAATATATGATTTCAAACAACCATTCATGATCACACAGGAACAGAATCGGAATGTATATTATTGCTATTTGCATTTTTACAAATCTATAAATACCTGCCAGTTTCTCATAATTTTGCGCCTCACTATATTTCCATTCTAGGTATCTTTGCATCAGAATGGCTTCATATTGGATGGCTTCCAGTTGTATGCTTCTTCACTCTCATTGCAATGCTGCGTCCATTTGGCGAGGATTTTGCAGTTTGGGACCCTGGGAGAGGCAACAAATGCTCAATTGGTGGGAGATCAGGCTGGCCATTCAAGCACTGCCACAATGTTTTAGGTCAACAAACTGCCAGCAATGATAGAGCCATGTGGACCCTTCACAGCTGGGACAGACTGAGAAGGAGTCTGTGGGTTTTGTAGGCTTGGGTTCCCTAATGGAATTAATGTTCCCATGTAATTTGGAGGCCCTTTTCTAGTATATCACATGCTAAATTTGTGCATAATATTGTTGGCACCTGTCAGTGCCAGCTTCAAAGGCCCCCCAGTCCATCCCTGCCTCATAGATATGTAGCAGTACAGGAAGCTGGCGATCCTTCACATGTTGCAAGATAATATGCTGGTCTTATCCAGGCCCTGGTCAATCTGTAGTGGACCATATCTGCTGGAAGCCGGTAGTGCCGGTAATATTTTTATTTAAAACATCCAACACCATTCTGATTTTACATTTTAATTTGCATTCTTTAGTGATTTAACAGAAACATATATTTAGGCAGTCCATTAAAATTTTAAAGAAAAAGATTTGCACTATATGTCTGTGTTGTATATTGCCATTCGGCAAACCTCAGCAGATTCCAGTACCCTACATGTAGGTTACCGGAATCTGACGCGGTTTGCCGAGTGGTATATTGCATTATATCAAATTGATCAGCAGTACCGCTGTGCAACAGTTTGGCATTATATTTGTTATATTATTAGCATGATTTAGTCAGCATTATATCAAGACACATGGATGACTTAGGCTTTATCTTCACTTAGAGAGAGAGAGAGAGAGTCACTCGACACAAACTAGGTTATTTTGGGATTAATATATGGTTCAATTTTATTTTAATAATTTGCTTGAGGGTAGGAGTCTTTAGCAGTGGGAGTAAACCGGAGAACCCAGAGAAAACCCATGAAGTGGACAAACGATCCAACGCGCACGCGTTAACCATCCAACGCCTAGCCTGGGTGACTTTTTGACCAAATTGATCAATGAACACTACTCATTACTTCCTTTCTGTTGATTATTCAGAGATTCTGCATATAATCCAGGGATTCTGAATATAATCCAGCCATCTTGATTTACTTATCTGAAGATCTTATAAGCTCCAAGCATAACCATCTCAAAATTCTAATTTAATTATCTTCAGACCCACTTTGGTCCTGAATATACCAATACTACACAGTTTTGATATTGGTGAGAACATAAAATTCCAAAAATATGTTTTCTATCTTTCATATTATCCAAAATAAAGCATGTTTTCTATCTTTTCATGTCATCCAGAATAAAATCAATGGGAAATCAGAAATATGAAGCACAACTGGGGCTGTATTTTTTCAGACTCAAGTTGTAAGAATTAAGAATTTATTGAGCTTATAACTAAATAATATAAATCAATTAACTTTTGTCTTTTCTATATTAAAAGAGTGAAAAATTTCTAAAAATAGCAGTTTTTTCACTCCACCCCACCAACTTTATGTGGATATTGTAAAGCTTGTAGCCTTCTAGTCCAGAGAATCTATAAAAGATCATTAAAAGAAATTGGGGGTTGAATACTATATACATTAATATAATATTATAATAATATTATAATACATTTATGAGCAGATGACTAAATATCATTAGAATTATATAAAATATTAGCACTTTAAACAGCAACAATTTTCATTATGATGTCCATAGTATGGAATGGACATCAATCGTCTAGCATTGAATATTTACATCTTTACAAAAATTACATTTAATAATAATAAAATAACGCACATTATAATCAGGGTGCTGTATAGTACATTGACTATATTAACCCCTTGTCATTGCTGTATGTAAACATAGCTAACTCTCTTATAAACAGATAACAAATTAAGAGAAATAAGTTTTTTGTACAAAAGCCACAACATAAAGTCAAAATAGATTTAATAAATGATATTTTGAAATTAATTAATAATGATTACCATATAACCAACCATTCAGTTGATACATTTCTGGAATCTCAATTTCATATTTTGTCTATGAAATTTTCCAGGAATGTTCTTCTGAAAATGTAACTATTTTCAGAGGTGTTTCAATTGTTTACTTATAAAAATACACACTTTTAAAGAGGCATTATGCAAGATTTAGAGAAAGAGCTAATCGCACTTGCTATAATAGTACAAAAATAAATAATGAAAAATGAATATATTGAAATTTCAGTCAAATTAAGGTACTTTATTAAAAGTTATGAATGGCTATTTTTATAGTGTTTCAGAAAGCGGATACAATTAAATTTGTATTACTTTTAGTCCAAATATGACTCAATATTTAAGAATAGAAAGCTTTGTAGAGCTCTATTGTCAGGCGTCTGTGAGTGATATCGCACATTATCAGAATATTTTGTTCTTGGCTGGCCATATTAGCCTAAACACAGACATGGTGGACATTGTATAATCCACTCAATATCTAAGCCACCCAATGGTCTATAGAGTTCATTATGGGTTTGGCATTTGAATAAATGTCTAAATAATAGTTTACATAATAATTGAAGCCAGAAAAATGACCTGCAATAGGCATATTTAGCTCTCACATAATGCCTTTTTAAACAGTATTTATAACTTTTAGGTGAAAGTCTCTAAATTACACAATCTAATGTCCTGTAAATTCATTGACAGGCAAGAACTAGGGTATACAATAATCAAACCAGTAATACCTCATAATGCATATCAAAACACAGTATGGAAAGGTGGTAGAATATTATTTTCAATTAACTTGCAGTGGTTCTTTTTTAATTGGAGTAATTTTCAATTCAATTAAATACAAATAAATAACAATTATTATTTATAACAATAAACTGTTCAGCTTTCTGATTTTCAGTGAAGATACCACAGAGTGCTTCACAGAAATGGGATATTTACTCTGTATATCTCGTAAATGTGTGTGGACTTTTTAAAAAGATTGTCCCTTTAAAATAAATTATTTTGCGTTACTAGTGACAAATAAAGACGATGCATCAAATTCGTTTTTAAGAATTATCTCTGTCAATTAGTCCTAGAATTCTTTGGTTGTATTGATAAATCTGCGAAATAGGTTAAACAACTATTTCTCACAAATACATACTTAATTACAGGTTGTCTGTGTGATAAAATAACAACATTCATCAACACGTCCAGGATTAAAACAAGAACAAATTGTTTGAGAACTATCAAACTAATTTACACCTTTTACACACATAGAAAAGTTTAAATTAACATAAAAAAGCTATACTAGTACTTTAATTAAAACTTTAAATAGAGCTATTTTAGGCTGCAGTAATAACAAAAGCACAGAATAAATCTTTTTATTTATATAGCTAATATTTTTCCTGGTTTATAATGGGGTACCAGATTACTCAATCTTTCAAACTTAACTGCATTAGCCAAGATCAAATTTTAAATTTCCAACATACTGAGGAAAATAACAGAAGTCCAAAGTTTCATCATCTGAAATATTGATTGTCTTTTTATTTTTCATAATGTATTGTTGTAAAGCCTGCTGATTAGCAGAAGTATATTGTTGATAAACAGATACAAAGACACAATTACATCAAACCATCATCCCTGTAACCAAAATAAATAATATTATCAACAAACACATTGTCTCAATTTGTTATGAAGTCAGATAAAATCATCTATTACTTGCAAACACATATGGCAAGTTTTAAAGGAATCTGGAAAACAATCACCAAAGTTTACATTTCTTCATAGGTCACTGGCATTGGATCCTGGAATTGGCTGAGAAGCATCTGACTGTGTAAAATGTTGCCTATTTGTTCAGAGATCCACCCAAGTACACACTGGATTCCACTAAAAGAACCATTGACAGACATAGGGTTTAATGTCTACTCGACACAAACCAGGTCATTTCGGGACTAACATATGGTTCAATTTTATTTCAATACTTCGCTTGCGAGTAGGGGTCTTTAGCAGTGGGAGGAAACAGGATGCCCCGGAGAGAAAACCCACGAAGTTGGAAAGACAACCCTACTCCTTGTCATGTTCAAGAGGGGAATCGAAATCACACCACTTGTCGCAATGACTAGACCCCCCCCCCCCCCAAATCCTTGACAGCTGGAATTCATAGACGAGTAGGCGGTAATGTCTTTGACTCTGCAAAACGTCCCTCCCTATATGGACATACTTCACAAAACGAATCTACAGACTTATTACCAGAATCAAAAATGCTGTACCCTTTTACATTATTGGACTTTGCAAAAAAAAAAATACTACTAATGATTTCAAAAAATATTTATATAATTTTGTAAAAATGAAATAAATTATTTACTTACTTACTTATCTATGTTGGAAGAAGAAGAACTTTCTTCTTTACTTTCAGCTTTAGCCTTATTAGAAGTATGATGACGTAACTTATACAGATCAGATATCTTCGGTGTGTTCTTCTTTTCTGAGCCGTGTTTCTAAAATGATATGTATATATAGATATGAAATAACTCACATTATCTAGTAGTGCAATATATTATTATATTCTATATGTTATATACACCAGTATAGGAATATTTCAATTTTACTAAACATAGTGTACACTTTTATTTTATATTACCCAGTAAATTCTGAGTTCCCTTTGGTTTATTGAATATTTCTATTAAAGAAATATGTTATATTTTTTTCACAAAAGGAGAATAATATCTCTTATTTTATGTTCAATGTCTAATGAATCACTTACTGAAGTTTTAGTTTTTGAAACAACATCCTGAAGTGGAATAAGAACACCATTGTCTTTGTTACAGAAAAAATATCTTTTTCCATTAAAAAATCCATCATGAGAACCTTCTGTAAAAAAAAATGTATCAGATTATTTTTAATTACCAATTCTATTAAAATAAATTTTGATTTTAGTTAATTTAATCAAGAATTACATTTGATTTTATTATTGTGTTTTTAGACTTCTTTTCATTCACAAATAAAGTCGCCTCTGTGTCATTACAGACTTGGGAATGTACAGTGCAATGGATACTAAAACAGCCAATAGAATACGATGTTACTTGAAAGCCTAATATGTCGCCCCATGTTGATGCAGAATGTCTGCGGGAATGATGGAATGACACGTCTAATTGTTCAACTTGTTTTTATGTACCGCTTGTGTCATTGTGTTGATTATCGGTATGTCTGGGGATGAGACATTTTTAAATTGGAATTGCTGGAGGGTAAATAGCCGCTAAGGGAAACAAAAATGGCTTTGTTAGATTGGTTTGGTGCAAATTGTGTGCTAAGCACGCTGACAAAGTGATTAAACTGACGAAAATTCATGGAACATATAAATGACGTATATAAAGAGAATATTTAACATGACTAAAGCATACATACAATTACAATTTGGCTCCCCTTCCTTCAAAAAAATAAAGAATTACTCTATCAATATAATTAAGAAGAGGGTTTTTTTTATGGGTTTTTTTTTTCCATTTTATGGCTTCTGCACCATTTCGTAAACGTGAAGGACTGCCTTACATAATAATCCAGGCAACATAGCCTAAAACCTACCATTTAGGTCCAACTCCAGTCCAGCAAACAACATATTAGGTTGTCCGATTCTATCTAAATGTCCAATATATTTTATATATCCTGATCGGTTTTCTTTATCACTCACATGATCTCCAACCTGTATCCTCAAATTAGACCTAAAACATAATATGATTAAAGATATATCACCTCATACTACTACTAGGGTTTACTATCCGTTTCCATAGACAATGATATCACAGACAAAAGACAGTCGTTTGACTGATAATCTATATATCATTAGTTATGGCCAAATTTTAGCTTCCAATACCATTCTACTCAAATTTCTAGTAATTAAAAGTCACACAACACATGCGAATTGAAGAACAAATGTTTACAATGGGGTTGAAAACTTTAAAATTTACAATTAAGAAATACCATCAAGAATTATCTCTTATACCATCAAGAATTATTTCCTAAGTCCTATACTGTATTCACAAATTATAAAAGTCGAAATATGACCAGAAAGTTCATTCTGTGAAACACATTTGACATTAGTAATCCCCAAGTTTCTACCTTATACAATTATACGGAATGTCACTAATTATTTCAAATTTTGTATAGCACCCCATCCTGTAATTTATTCACAAGATTTCATAAACTGGAATATAAACAAGGTGATAACTCTATAATTACCTTATAACCTAATCAAAAATCTCGCAAATTTGAACAAATCTCTAAATAACCCAGACCTGTACAGTCTTCACAAAGAAATGTTTACAAAACACGGACCAAGATGACGACAATATACATCCATCTTGAATGTGAGTGTATATAAAATAAAATCCCCCACGGAAGCCTACAGAGTCTACTTTTAACGTCTTCATCCAAGGCTAATGAACATTATATACTTACCCAACAGTAAATTTCTGTACATCATCATCTAGAATAATTCTATCACTATAACCAATAGATTCTTCACAAGCTGAACATTTACAGCCAGTTAGAGGCTCTGGATACAAAGCTGTCGATAAACTCAATTCTGCCTTTTGAGATTTCCCCTTTTTCAAACTAAAAATAAACAATTCATATTACTATATAAACACTGTGTATAAATTTAAAGGCAATAGAAAGATAACTTGAGAATCCCAAAAGTTTTTTCAATTGCTTATAGACAATAATGAACGTAATCGTAATCGAATAATAGCTTTAGTCTCTAGAGGGTCTACTAGACTTTCCAAAGTAATCGAGGGCCATAAATAGTGTTACTGATCATAAAATATTGAAAATAAAATGGCTTTTACATATGTTAAACATAAACACTGTGTGAAAACCTTAGTCTCTAAAGTGTCCACAAGCTAATTGTGGATAACGGGTGGCCAACCAGGGAGGGGACAACAGTCTAGGACCACATTACAAAAAGTGTCACTTCTGATAAACTTATTTTAGCACTTAAAATGTTAATCTTTGAATATTCAATGCTCTCTTAATGTTCATCCACCACATTTATGGCACAAACCTAGTAGAATTTACTTCTAAAATCTATAGATAGTAAATGCCCATGCCATGAACTGTGCTGAGTAATACAGGAGCTAGTGGCTCGGTGAGAAATCTCGGGTTCAATTGAATTGTTGGCCTATAAAGTTCCCCAGGATAGTTACTCGTTGTCAGTGGTGCAGGTCAGGAGGGCCTGGCAAGGAAAAGTGGCTAATCATTCGGATAGGATGAAAAACACGTTCATATAAAAGAACAGTTGGAATTCAATTGCTGTCTGGGCAAAATTCCCCTCATAGAACACTACTTGATGTATGCCCGTATTCATTATTCTGTTTGGTGCAGAAAAATAGGACGTTAAACCCCATTTATTCATTCATTGGTTACAATTTGGTTAATTAATGAAATATAACACTGACCTTGTTGGTACTGATTTAAATACAATTGGTTTAAATACAGATCCTTTCAGTTTTTCCCTTCTGCTTTCTCGTTTTTTATCATCACTTTCATTTTCTATGTTGAAAATACTATCTGTAGTATTCTTTAATGCATGATTTAACTACAATAGATAATTAAAATATTTCTCAAACATTGCAATGTCACTTGCAAAGGATATCAAACCCTATTAGAATAGCAATTGGGTGTATGTCACTTAGTCATTTTGTTGGGTCTTATTGGGAATGACCTGTTGACAGAGACACTAGTGCCGTTAATCAGGTAAGTTGAGATGAAGTGAATGGATGACTAAAATTGAACATAAATAACAAATTACTGAGTAAGAATCTGGAATATAATGCTGATTATGGCTGTCGGAATTTCCCTTTAGAAAACCACACCAAGATCAACTATAGGACATGGTAAATGGGGACATCACACATTTATATTCATTTACAAGTGGTTATCCCATTTAAATCAGTGATATTATCAAACATTCCCCTTTCCCTACTCCTACCCAAAAACAACAATCAACAGAAGGTTAATTTATAGTCTAGTCATCACTCATAACATAACAAGTATGTCATAATCAGGTAAATGGTGTCTAATGTTAAAAATACAAATGGCCCAAAATTCTATAGTGGGCCACATTAATTTCTATACACATTTATGTTGACACTCTTCAAGTGAAATTAATTCTCACGTGGAATCAAATAGTGGTATATTAGATTTTTATTCATTATTAGCAGAAAACATTTTTAAATCAAAATGTTGTTTCTTAAAATAAACTTTTGATAGAAATTGATATTTGCTTCTCTTCTTACCTCCAACTCTCTTAATTTATCTTTCAAACTTTCAATTTCCTTTTTTGCAAATGTAAGTTCTTCAGATAGTTTATGGTTTAACTTCAGGGCTGAAATGAAATTAAGATAAATCATGTTAAACTATGTCATTAAAAATGTTTAAATGTTGAAGTTATCATCCACCCACACATCTTAACTGCATTACAAATTAAAAAATCAATAACGTAAACTTGGAAAGATATCAGAAATTGATAACATGTGAAAACTTGAGTGCCATGTGTAGATAACAGGAATAAATTCTTGTTTTAACTATAATCTCTTGTGTCAAATCCTAGTCTTGCCTCTCAATTCACAAACAGTGAATATTTTGGCGCTTTAAATTAAATGCATTTAGTTTTCAAGATATCGCTGTTCTGTCTTAAAATCGCCAGACTGATTCCTTTTGCATCAAAATTAGAAGTAAGCAAACTTTGCAAACGTAATATTAATTTAATAGCTTATAATTGTTCAGCTCCAAATGTGCCAAAATTTTACAATTTAAAAATGTTTCAGGCATGCTAGCTTGATCTAATTGTGATACCTTTATGGCACAAAACAGCCATCAAAATTTGAATGCCATATTTTCCATTGCATAAGACCCTTTGAATTTGTCATTAAAAATATAAACAGCATAAGATAAACTTTTTTATGGGTGTCGTTAAATATATCTTGTTCAAAAACTAAACATTCCCCAAAAATTGACAAACAATTACATCTGATAGATTGGAACATTTGATTACTTTAATTACAAAATTATTAAAAAGCACCTACTTTGTGTTAGGTTTTCTTCATGGTCTACATTATCTTGTAATGTACACTGTGTCTCTTTAGATACTTGTGGACTGTAAAATATACCATATATAAACAAACCTTTGTTAGCTGTATGAACTTCTCAGACTACAAGAATTTCATAAACATCAACAATATCCAAAATGATAATGGTAAAATCCAAAATTTTTTTATTTCCTTTTGTATTTTTTCAAACAACGGGACAATAAAAGTATTTAGTCATTTCCATAATATATACCTTATTCGTTTGATATGTCCGTCTGGTTGAGAAATGATCTCAGGGAGAGAGTTTTTACGACTAACAGGTGGTAGAGAATCATTAGAATCTGTAGCAACATAATTTAATGGAAGACCATGAACAATGGCTTCTGTGGTTGTTGTGGTGATTCCATTCTGTTGCTGTTGGGTGCGACTTCTAGAGGAACCACGTCGTCTGCTGTCACGATAAAGTGATGGTGAATTCAAATGTCCTAAAAAAACAAAAGCAAATGAAATCATGCTCCGAGATGCTGAAACTGAGTGTTTAAAATCAGTATATAATGGTTTTTAACATTAAAACATAATTTTAATCTATGTCTAAAATGCAAATGATATTGGACAAAATTAAAGACTGCAGCAAAATATTACTATAATATAAAGTATTTTGATAGAATCTCACCTGTGCCTTTAAAACTGTAAGTTTTTTCAAATTTTGGAGAATAACTGATGGTACTAGAGCACTGGCTACATCGTGAACACGGGCGTGATCGATCCTTTACCATAGAAATAATAAGATATCAAATTAACCCCATTTTGCATCAATTTTAGTAAATCAACAATTTGAAATTTTCCCAAAAATCCAAATGACGTTCAGCAACTTTAAGGTTCATACATAGGTAAAAATTTATCTGTAATATACAGGTCGTTTGGTCATGGGTAAAAAATTTATCTACAATATACATGTGGTTTGGTCATGGGTAAAAATTTACTACAATATACACATGGTCTGGTCCAATCTGTTTCATACGGAATTATGAGTAGTAATATCTCTGTCAAAGATGACTGCCTTAACACGTGCCGTCACAGCACGCGGGGTCAATCATTGGCTGAATGGCACATGCATTGTTTACATAAGACGTTACTGCTTCGGGGGGAATGCTGCCTTTTAGTCATTTTAATACCCATTTACACTAAATAGGAAATAATTTTTGCCTACAAATATTTATATTTTTCCAATACATAAAAAAAAATGTTTTAGAATTTAATTTGTCGCAGAAAAAAAGTTAATATTTCTGGCTCATTAAGTCGCATCAATGTCATCCTTATCAGTGATTGTAGCGGCCTAGTGAAAACTCACTGCTGATCAGTGTGGGTCTGGTCATGGGTAACGATTTATCTATAATATTTTACCTGAATTTGGATAACTTAGTCATTTACTAAAGAATTATTTGTAATAACCTACATGAATATTTCTCGTTTGGTCATAGGTGAAGACATTTATTACAATCTCCATTAGTATTGCTGATTTGGTCAAAAATATAATCTTTTATCTAAATATTGGTATTTTATCTAAATATTGGTATTTTATCTAAATATTGGTATTTTATCTAAATATTGGTATTTTATCTAAATATTGGTCATTTGGTCATGTGGTAAAGATTTATTAATTATCTATAATATTTTACCTATATATTATTGGTGGTTTGGTCAACTATTACAGATTAATCTATAATATTTTTCCAGATTAATATTGGTGATTTGGTCATGTATTAAAGATTTATCTATAATATGTTACCTGAATATTGGTGATTTGGTCATGTAATAAAGATTTATCTATTATATTTTACCTGAATATTGGTAGTTTGGTCATGTAGTAAAGATTTATCAGTGTAGGAACTAGTAGATGGTGGAGCTGGACTTGTGGAATGGCTAGTACGAAAACTTATTGAAGTTGATGATCTCAAAGCTTCATTTTCTCGTTTCATTAAATATATCTTCTTCTCCAAACTTTCAAATAAAAGATTTTCATTGAGACCTTACAATATGATTGTGAGATAACAATGAATTTATATTCCAAATTAACATCATCCATAAAGTGAGAAATTTAAATAAGATTAATGTACTGGTATCTATCACTTTAAAAAGTACATGTATACAAAGATTAAATCCACCTACCTCCGTTTCGAACGAAGTAAATTGGCAACATCAGCACAGAGTGGTACTATTCCCTTTCTGGTACTATTAACTACAAATGCTACAGCACGAGCTGCAATGTCTTTATCTTCTACTAAACAATATAATTCATTACTACTGCCTGCAACAAGAAAACAGAGCATTGTCAGACAATGGAAACTACTCTCTCACCAACATTTTTTGAAAAGAGGCAGCAATGTCACAAATGTTGGTCAATCAAATTTGCTCCATCTCAAAACTTTGTACTAAAATCTTTACTGGCATATCAAATACCTTGTGAAAAATCAATTATGTTTTACCAGGTATATTGCTACCAAATGAATATATTTATTGTAAACATGATAATCGTCATGACTGGTCTCAACTTTTGGAAATAAAATGAAATGTGGTATAACTCCTACTTTTCTGCTCTATCCACCCTAATGAAGATGGGTATACACCATATAGTGTGCTACATGTATGAGGGAAATTTTGCCTAGACAGCAGTGCCACACCCTACTCTTAATTTAATTCCAACTGTGATCAGTTCTTTCACGTGCACGCTATTGTGTACACATGATTTCAGGTTTTCATGCCATCTAAAAGATTAGACCCTTGCTGTCCTTGCCATCACTGACAATCCTGCCATGTCGGAAAATCCTGAGAAACTTTTGTGGCCAACACTAGGACCGCACCAGGCCAGGGAAATCCAGGATAGGGAACTAGTGGCTTACTCACTGAGCCACAGTGGCTCACTCATCCTTTCTTGTTTCATGTTATTCAATCCCTTTATAAGAGTTTTTAATCCTTGAATATTGAGGATCATGACTGTGGAGGAATTATATATCTTAAATCCAACATAATCTGAAATTAGAGCTGGTATATAGATGTGTATATAGTATATAAGATGTTTATAAAGAGACGTGTAAACGATATATAACAAATGTTATCAGACATCTTTGAATTGTTTCTTTCTAATCACTTACAAGGTCAACTGTTTACATTTACTCAATATAAAATGTTAAACATTTGTTAAAGTTCTCCACTTTTTGCTGTCTGTTTACTTTTCCTAATATTTTAAGGTCAGTTTACTTGTTTTAGGAAAATGAGATTTACTTCTAATATATAGTCTTGATTATTTCATCCTGGATTGTCTCTGCACTACAACAAAAACTATAGTCTGTACAACATAGCACTATATCGGTTATACAGCGATTCTTGTAGATCTTAACTTAGGGATTTTTTTTTAAAAACAATATTTTTATTCGGGATATCTGAATGGAAGTGGGGAACAGATTTAGCCTATGGTAATCTCTCTCCCTCTTCACTTTGTGATTAAGACAACATTTTCTATAAGAGACACAACGTAGCAATGGCTGCTATTTTGTCGAGACTAATATTCATTGTGGTCAAAGTGAAGACAATATAGGTTGTAATGATTAGGACTATCAAACCTATAAAATTTTTGAAGTGGAATAAATTAAGAACAAATCAAGTGGTTGTCAGGTAACACAACCTAACAGCAATAATAAAAGTCTAACACAGGCATGACATAACTCTGTAATTTGTAATCAAAAGAAATCAGAATCAGATCTGAATGGTAACAAGAAACATCTTCAACCACACCAATGGAAATGAAATAGATCTGAATTATCATAATGCCATGCATTCTATTACATGTACATAATATTCCATAATCCTTCATTTAAATAAACTCAGTGGGTAAATTGAGTTCGAAAACAACACATTAATGTAATATGAGTGTAAAAGTTATCTATATTCAATTCATAATTTTTTTATTGTAGGTTCTCATCAGTTATGTTTGGTGAAATATGTGAACCATTTTTAATTACTTCCACATTTTCTTCTGGGATATGTTTTTCTTTGTTCATTACAAATGGTGCTCAAATTATGTCCATAGAATATACAAGTTGTGTACTGATTTTAAAATGTTCATTGTGTCTTAAATATTGGATATTAGGAGAATAACATCAATATTGATTGAGGGACCAATATCGAATTTTAATTTGTTTTATTAATTTTCAATATTTGAATGAGAGATTTAGCTCCTTTAATGTTATATAAAACAATGGGAAACATATATTCTTTACACATAATTTTTTTTTCATGTTTAGACTTGAAATTTAAAAAAAAAATCATTAATTTAATTTACGTGTGAATTGATTAACTGGTGAATAACCTATATAATCTTAATGAAAGAGACCAGTTTAACCACATCAGTTTATCCATTTATTTGTGAGACAAAATAAGATTATTTTGCCTCTTATATGTTATATGAAATAGTTGAGCAAGTCGAAATGACCCAAGACTTTTTCACAGCTAACAACAAAAAAACAACATCTTAGATGTCTGTTATGGAATGCCGTTTACGATAGGAACACAGAAACTAGGTCGTTTGTATTTCCACTTCTCTGATTTATCAGTTCGTCTTCCGTTTTTAATCCCGATTTCAGAAACGATGTCAAAGTATTCAGCATGATTCTAACTTACTATAGCAAAACGTAATAGGCCTAATCTTTTCTCAGTGTCAACATTTTCAAGGCAGTTCTATGAAAGCTGGTATTTTCGACTTGACGTAACACGGTTTGGCAAAGTTTCATAGAACCACACAAGTCGAAGACAAATAGTTCTAACTTTTTTGCTTTCCTATTGTTCTTTCATAATAAATATATGTAAAAGTTATTCCAGTACAAATTGATCAGAAATAATACATATTGGATTTCGCTAAAGAGTTTTGTTAATAGCTGACGTGTTTCGCTTGGTCGCTCAGGAATTTCAGTATCGGTATGCTCTTGGTATTCGCCAATATTGAAAACAACAAAATTTTCTCATACACTTACCTGCATTTAGGCCAGAAATTGAGCTTATTTCGTTTTCCCAGTGAGTCCAAGAACTACCCGCATTTTCGCTTAATGGTGGGCTGTGGTCAGATCCCAAACTATCCATAGTCATCATTATTCTCATCGTCAAACTAGGAAACATGCACTATCATTTTCAACTTTCTCAGCCTCGCCATCTTCGAGTTTGGAGTTCGGTGCCAATAACACGCAATAGGGCGTGTGGTGAATCGAAATAACAGCTAGAGAATGTTCGCAGAAGTTTTGACACGTGGCCTTTTGCACGGATAGACAATTTCGAACAATTTCTTCAAAATTTCGTAGTAAATTTCACATATTTTTAATATACTATTGTGACAATAATCAAAGCTTGTCCACATAATCCAAGATGGAACAAATCTAAAACGTAAAAGGGGTGGGAAAAGTAACAGCTGCAGTATGGCGCGTGCCGACCTGGCAGTCAGTGCCAAACTGAACTCAACTGTAATACATGTTGAGAAACTGATTATAAACGTTAGGATCCAGGTCATTAGCTTAATATTTCTTAATAAATTTGATTTATCATTCCAGCGACAAGAGACACATGGGATCATATTTTTAATTGATAATTTATTTGAATATTCTGCATCTAGCCTGGAATCTATATAGACTATAAATTATGCGCAATTTTGGGCCGAGAGATTATTGGCATTTATGTTGTAAGCTACAAGTTTGTTGACTATTTTATATCTGTTTGTCAAATTAGGCCCCCCCAAAAGAGAATGGAAAAGAGTTATATATATACATTTTAAGTACGTAAACCAACTCGGTGTTTAAAATGGCAGCACGTGGGCTAAATCAACTTTTTATGCGGGAATTGAGAAATCTTACATTGAAATGTATGATTTAACTGAAAGACGTTGGATAAAAACGGGCTAAATTCGTAGTTTTTGATGCAAGTTAGAGGAATTTCTGCACTATAAATGTGTAACGATATTTTTATTTTTATTTTAAAAGAGCGGCATTATTTCAATGTCATAAGAGTAATGCAACGTCGAGGTTGTCGGAGTATCGCAGTATTAATTTATTGTAATGCTAACAATGATAAAGGAATTGTGTTATATTATTTAAGCGACAATTAGTAACTGCAGATGAGAATAAAACATGACACAATTATTTGGAATACAAGTTTCTTGAAAGATTTATTTCTGGCAACATTTCGACAATGGTTCTCTCGTCTTTATGAAGTGTTGTATTTCTAGACCAGGAACTGGTCGTTAACCGCTACTTATCTTGTTCTTCTTGGGGTGAACCTCTTCGAAAAAGCCTAAGGCTCCGTCAATTCAAAGTCCGATCGACATGAAAATTGGCATGCTTCTTCTTTGAACAATTAAAATTCTGCAACGATCTGGTGAATTAGATTTTTAAAATTTTGTCCTCAAAACAAAGTTATGACGTCATAACTGTGTCAGTCTTCGTTAAATGCTCAATACCACTCTTGCTGTAACTGAATAATATGTCCCAATCTTTATTCTGGTCAACAAATTGCACTATTTTACAATATTCCAATTAATTGATGATACAAATTTCATCTTAACACACCTAATTTTAAAAAAATGGAAAAAATTAAACTAAATGATTTGAAAAGCCTGACGTAAAGCTTTTCGAATGTGACTTGGATTTAAAAATATTTTTGAACCCTCTGGACAAGTAAAATAGGATTTAATGGATAATTTACACAACAGGTAAGACACTAACACATTAATACTTAGAATAAGGCTATTTTTTATTTTCTGGAAATGTCAAGCCAGCAAGAGTGTTATTGTCCCTTTAACGAAAGCTGCTCAAATTTTGTCTAATCAATCTATCAAAAATTTGCTTAAAATCCCTCTCAAAACTTTGTGTTTGCGGGGAGATACTCCAAGCTATAAAAAATTTGTTTGTCACCTAACTTGATCGAGGGAGGGACGTTGACGAATTTATAATGCATTTCCCGCAATTTTACGAAGGTTTTGAATCTGCCAAAAATTGACTGAAAACTTGGCGTACACGTTACAATTTCAATTGCAATGGAATATTATATTCTTAAAATATCGAATATAATCATTTCTAAATAATCAATGCACGAAAACTTGCTGTAATTATTTGGAATGTTCGATCATCTTAAAAGAAAAGAAAAGGTTTTTTTTAGTCATCAGGCGTGGTTGAGGCCGGCCTATATCATAATAGGTTAGAATTATTTTTTTTAAAACTCGTTGTTCATCTTTAATCCCTACGGTATCAATGTCATTCAAATATTAAATGGTTTTATTTAATGAAAAAGTTGCACCACAGTCCAGTGCAATAAAGTAAATGTACTATTTTAGTATTTATGTACTATTTTTTCTGATTGGTCAAGCCCTGAAGAAATGTGATGGTCATTGTTTGTCATTTGATTAATCAGTTTATCAAATAAACAGCACAGCTCTATGCCAAAGGTATAAATGCATAACACTTGCTGTTTCCATTTCACTGACACATTGAAATAATTTGAGATTGGCTGAGGGGCCAGCTGGGTCTAAAATTTTGCCAGCTTGCTAGACAAATTTCTTAATATTAATTAATGTTTAAATAAATGAGAAGAGTTTTAATATCAAAACATTTTGATGCAAAAAACCCATCAATTTGCACTGGCCCATTTATTTGGGATTTTAATTTTTTATTTTGACCAAATTTAATTAACATTTTAATTTTTTTTAAATAAAATGATTTGGCCCAATCTATAGGATTAGGCTTATCGGACTTTATTAATATTAAATTTATTAAAGTTAATAAGGTCTATTTAAGTCTGTTAATAAGGTCTAGTTGAAACAGCTTATTTATAAAACTGCTTATTATAAATCTGACTGGTTCTTTTGTGAAATAGTTTTATTTAACGTCCGCTTCCAATGAAGTGATATTGTAATCCCCATAGACATACCATTAGGCCACTAGATCTATATGGTATTCTCGGTAGGCTAAATATGCACTTCACTTGTAACTATTAAACCCGCTGACGTCATTAACAACCCAATCGGTAACGTTCTATAAATAGAAAATCTCGCCTATTCTCGTATATTCTTGATCAGCAAGCACGTTACGAATATGTCGGACGAAGAAATGTCACCTACAGAAAATTCTGTCTCAGAAGAAACTTCTGATGATATGAATATTGAGGAAGAGTAAGTTTAAAGCGAAACTATAGTTTACATCAAAAAAATTGCCGAAGTTTCATTAGTTTAACACAAAAACGAGTTTTATTTCGATTTTCTATTGCTAAATCGAAACTAAATTTGAGAATATTCTCGAAAAATTTTCATCTGATCTATTTCCGGTTCAGTTTTAATATTTTTTGTTCCCATATATCGTGATTTGTGTAGTATTTGAAGTCATTTCGAGACTAAACTAATATTTTTTGTACACACACTAGCAGTTTTTTGGTATTTGATATCCTAAACGATTGAAAACCCCAAGCCAAGCAGTATATCTGGTTACCTCCCTTGAATTGACTAACAACACACTAAGTAAGTCTAACTCAACTGCTGGGTGTTCACCCTTTTAAATTTCAATTTATGTAGCAATAATAATTTCCAATGAGTCATGACGACAGAATATATTCATCACTTCGGTGGGAAGGAATAATTTGTCCTCCATTTTATTAAATCGACCCTTTCCTGTCTGTTCCTGTTAACAAGGCAGCATAATTATTAATATGAAAATACCGCTCTACTCCACCTCTGTTCTGAGGCTATATTTTGTTCCCCATGACCAAATGTAGAAGTCATGACAAAGTTTCATCATTGTTCAGTCTAACCTAGATATGATACCTCAGTCCTGTTGGGTGGAGGTTAGTTTTATCTATAATCTAGATGAGAAACCTCATCTCTCAACCCTCCATGTTTTGATATAAGATTAAGAGATGGTGCTGTATAGTTTCTTCTTGCAAACGCTAATCACATAGAGCTTCAAATAAATAAAATTGACAATTTCTTCTTCAAAACAACGATTGATTATGTTTTCATCCCACGACCATTTCAGCGATTACATGTCATTTGGGACTCACGTCATTTGGGACTAGCGTCATTTGGGACTTAAAAAAATATGACCATGACATTTGGGACTCGGGTATACAACGTTTGGAACTTTGGCATACGTCGTTTGGGACTCGGATATACGACGTTTGGGACTCGGATATACGATGTTTGGGACTCAGGATAATTTATTAGAAATAGGCCAATTCAAAACACGAAAGAAAATATTTATTAACATGAAAAACGTGGTAAGTAAAAGGCTCAACCAAACGATAAAACATTAGTTGCACTTACGGTTCTTTGATAATCATCGTTTCTCATAAAAGTTATATATTTATTTAAAACGAATAATATGCTGATGAATTTATTTGAAAATGACCTAGACCTACACAAAAAACAAAATAAATATTTACACGACATGCAATCTTTTTTACAAGCCCCTAGAAATTGTTAACGATAATCCGTGAGCTGCACGTTGACATGCTTGTCATAGATGGCAATACCAATCGATAAATTATGGCAAAGTTTTTTGGTGGAAAATATAAGAAATGGCAACGATCAAAGCGGGATAATTACTGTGTGAACCATGGTAAATTATAAACGGATTTCTTTGATTGTGAACAAACTACTGAATAATTGTTATTAAAAACTTGCCTATGTGTTTGAAATCACCTCCGGTTGAATAAAATCCATTGCACAATTAAATATCCAAACCAAAACAAAAGTTCTCTCTTGAAAAGTTAAAGTTTTTGCTTGTATTTTCGACAGTGTCCATCGCAACATTACACATGTCACGTCATGAGCTAAACCATCATAATATGTTGAAGGGGGTAAAGGTTGAATCACGTGTGTTGTAATCACAACAGCGCATGACCGTTTTGATTTTTTGAGTTTGGGCAACACAATAGCAACTGAGACAAAGACATTGATTTGGAAACAATTGATTGTCAGTCTACTACTAAATTTTATTCACAATGAATATATCACCAATTACATGTATACCTGTATATATAATTGTATATTGGATACATTGCCTTGTGAATTTCAAAACAAAGCCGGGAATTTACAAAATAATTGTGTTACGATTATAAATTTTTCTAAACAGTTTTTTGCACACCGGAAATAATATTCAGAGCGAAATAGAAAGAAACTGAACTATCTGCCGATAATTAATCCGGTGTGCGGTATGATTAATAGGCCTATACCTATTCAATGATCCAATGGCCTCGGCTATTTATGTTGTCTAGGCAAATGTAAAATACATCGGCATTTACCTCGGCTACAGCAGATTGCTGAGGTTAATTGACGGGACTGCGTAAGTTCATCAGGAAATATTAAAAATATTCAAGGGTGAAATATAGTTCAAAAGAAATAATCCAACCAAACTCTCTAACCAAATAATTATAATACAAGAGGGAAACAAAATACTGGACTACTGGCGTATTTATGTTTTTAAACGCCCAAACTCATTACTGGGTTCCGAGAGGAATAGCTTATTCAAACACAACCGTAACGACAGACAAGCCTTGCTTTGAGTCTTGACCCCCCCTATACGAAATGATATATCCTGATAAGTGACGCAATTAGCTTCCATTTTGGTTATTTCTCGGTGTCAAAGTTTGTGATGAGTTCAATTTTACAAGAGAGAACTTTTTTATTAGCTAGGACATATAGTTGTACAATGGATTTTATATAACCGGAGGTAATTTCAAACACACAGGTAAGTTTATAATAACCAAAGTATAGTAGTTTGTTCATAATCGAAGAAATCCGTTTATTATTTACCACGGTTCACACAGTAAAGCTGATTAACTGGTAATCCCGATGTTATTGCAGTATGTTCAAAGAAACCTAATGGTTCTTTGGTGGATGAGGAAAAACGTGAGTTGTCAATCATCGAGAATGGCGACTGTGTGTTGATTGCAGTTATACCGTTTCACGAAAAAACATTAGCAGTGGTCGGTCAATCAAGCTCGTTTACTATTTGATAAAAGAAAAACAATGAAGTATTACTAAATATACACAAATTTTCAACAATATATTATTGTCAAGTTTTATACTCGCAGATAAAACAAAACAAAGGAGAAGTTTTATACTCGCAGATAAAACAAAACAAAGGAGAACTAGCAGTGTTAATCGCGGTCTCAACAATCGCCGATCAACTAAATAAAACGAAAGACAACTAAGACAGCTGTTACTATATATCATAAATATATAGTCCCAACTGTCGTTTATATTGAGTCCCAAATGTCGTTTGTGTTGAGTCCCAATTGACGCCAATCAAGTCCAAAACGTCGTCAACTGAGTCCCAAATGTCGCTTATGTTGAGTCCCAAATGACATGAGTCCCAAATGACGCGATACCGTTTCAGCTCGGGCTGTTTCATCCCAAATTTACATGGGGTGGGTCGTTTCATCCAACTAATATAGGGACGTTTCATCCCACCAATTTAAAAAAGAATTATATGATTTTTTAATATGTTATTTATCTAAAAATAATGTCACTTGCTTAACTATTCAATGACTATTTCCCGCGGTGAGATGCTTCTAACCAGTGCTAAAATAAATGTTTGGGGCATACATGTGCGAACATTCAGTCTTTTTTTTTTTATGAAATTTTCTCTTGACTGAATATGAATAACAGGGGAAGAATAGTTATTGAACCTGTAAATAAAAGCTTACAAAGCAGAAAGAAAATAGACCCAGTAAGAATAGTTTTTCAAATGTTCTATTGATCACGTATGTACGCAGTTGTATCAAGCTTTTCGTGTGATTTTCAATAATAAGTGTGTGCTTAAATTCTGTGACTCGAAGATTCCTGCAAATCCAATATCTATGTATTATGAATCACACTGGTATTAACCTAGCAGTACCTGTCAGTGAAAAGGACTGTGATATCTTAACTGATCATATTTATTTGCTGTTGTGTCGCTACATACAAGTATGGCTAACAATTTAAAATTATTTTATTTATAAGATTTTACAGTCTACAGGCATTAATCAACAAAATGAGTTTGAAAGTGAAACTAAAGGGAATCAATTGTAGCTAAAAAAAAAAAAAAAAGTACATACCGGTACATGTACATGTGGTGTATCTCTGATGTATGTCAATGTTTTTGCAATGTTCTCATCTCTGATGTATGTCAATGTTTTTGCAATGTTCTCATAGCTAAATCTAATCATGGACTATTGTCGTAAAATGTTTTCTTGAAGAAAATGAACATGAAAATTGTATAACTGTGAGTGGGCACTTTGTGTTTTGTTTTCCAGTGTTGTTATCATAGATGATCCGGCTGTTTTGGCAGAAGATAAAAAAGAGGAAGGCAACAAATTTTATAAACAACAGAAATATAAAGATGCTGTTCATTGTTACACCGAAGCTATCAGTAAGATCTCCTTGCTTTAAAGATGCATTAGGTCAGATTTAGATAAAAAGCTGGCCAATCTTCCAGGATTGACATTTGATAAATGCAAATGCTCAAAAAATGGCTCTCCTTGTCAAGATTCGGGTATTGTTTAGAATGCTCTCCTAAATGTTATGGAAGATTGAAAAAAATAAAAAAAAAACAGAAAAAAAAATAAATTGTGAGATTGTAATATTTTGACATTTCTAATTAAAGAAATATAAAAATTTGTAAAATTAACATTTACTATCATAACAATGGTACGTGACAATCAAGACTATATTGTTAACATTTTAAAGTCTGATAACTTTGCTGAGAAACAAGTAATTTGAATGAAATTGTCAATATATTAATTTTTCATTATCTATTCTGGAACTATTATTAGAGTAAAAATGCAGGGATTGATTTCAGCGGAGCACAATCAACCTCCTTCAACTCTTTGCTTTAAAATTAGGCCCGTCTTCATTAGCCCAGTTGGAGACGTTAAACCCCATTCATTTTCATTTCATTTCAAAATTAGGAGCACAATTAAAAGCATGCACTAATATCAGCAAAAATCATAAATTATTTCCCCAACAAATATGTAACTTATTCACCACAAAATATTTATCCATCACGATGGAAATCAAGTACCAGTAACATAAATATAAACATTCATAGCATTGGTACTGTAGATTCATGTTAGACTGAGCGAGATTGCTATTTCTGTGCCCAACTTTTTTTTTCGGATTTACAAATGTCATCTTGTCTAGCCTACCTGTCAAGAAGCATGTTGACATTCCTTGGATTAACGCTACCTCCGTAAACAAAGTATGTGCTTAAAGATACATATGAGAGATATGATAAAGAGCTGGCAGTTCTCACAATAATAGTTAAAAACTAGATAATGTAAAGGGAATGTGCTGAAAATTTCAGTGAAATTGATCCACTCAGAACCAAGAATTTAGCGATTGAATTTTAGGCCTAGCCTCGATCATCATTACTCAAGTTGGTACAATGAAAAACATAGTCTGGATTATCCATTTTTTGATTTAATTGGGGATCACGTGGCGAAGTGGGTAACACACCGGCTCGCTAGCCTGGAGGTCGGGTGTTCGATCCCTGCATTGGCCGAGAAAGTTCATCCAGATGCATGGTTTCCCCTTGTCAGTGATGCAGGACGGAGGGCCTGACAAGGACAGCTGTCTAGTCGTTCGGATGGGACGAAAACCGAGGTCCCGTGTACATATTGGCGTGCACGTAAAAGATCCCTTGGCAGTTGGAAATCGATATAAGAGTAGGCCGTAGAGCTGCTGCCCGGGCAAAATTTCCCTCATAGTACACAATATGGCGTCTGCCCATCTTCATTAGCCCAATTTAGGAGTAGGATGTGAAACTCCATTTCATTTCATTTAATTATCAGTGAGCGTTGAGTAGCAGACCATATTCTAATCCAGTAAATATCGTAGGCTAGCGATGACATCGAAAGTTGATTATGGTCTGGCTGATTTATCTGATATCAGTGTCTTGTAAATACACCCATTACCTACAAAAGAATAAATATACGGCAACCCTTGTCGACCGCTCTGACGATTTAGCTGTCTTGGACGTAATGTTTCATTGCCTGGCAACCCATCTTTAAGTTAAATTATTAAATTTTTTATTGCCTATGCAGTAACTTAACTGATTATTGTTGGTAAACCAAGGTTACCCAGATCGTTCATATGCTATTATTTATGTAGGGATGCTGGCATTAGAAACTTGGGCTAATTGGGCAGATGATTCCTCCCCTTTAATCAATTTTTTTTTGTATACTGTAATCATACTATATTGTATATTTTAGATCTATGCCCAACATGTGCTGCATATTACAGTAATAGAGCTGCAGCATTCATGATGTTATATAAATATAAAGATGCGTTAGAAGATGCACAACAGTCTGTAAAGTTAGATAATAAATTCTTAAAGGTAATCATGTTTTGAATGATTTATTAGTAATAACACTTTTATAATAGTTCTCTAGTGCTGGACTGAAAGTTAAACCTTACAATCTCTAGGACAACTGCGGGAGGGACAATTGCCGGGGAGGACAACTGACGACAGGACAATTGCTGTGCATTTTATTTGTTTTTGTAGTATACTTTATTAAATGATTAATAAACCCTATCCTGTGTGAAATAAAATGAATCAAAATATCTAGATCAATGATTACATAATAATGATATAAAAGTTTTTATTGGTTATTTTTTTATGGTAACAAAAATAATATTAAACAAATACAAAGAAACCCAAAGAAATATGGACAGCAATTATCCTGCTCCTGGCTAGGATATCTTTGTTATGTTTCTATGAGACAATTAAAAGTCGTGGGCTAATATATTCTCTATGGTTGTGTTATAGCTTTCTTTTAACTGGTGGTGTAAATGATATTAACGCAGGGGTAACCTTGACAACTCTTTATTAATATAATATCCATCTAGACCTGCACTTTATTTAGAAATATATTGTTATACGCCTACATTGAAATGTGGTCCTTTCGTACGTCGGTCTGGTATCCACATTTGGTTGTGGAAGCTCTAGAGGCTTAAGTTAATATCTGATTGACTTTAAATTGATATTAATGCCAGGACTAGTGGCATTTGATCACTTTGAAAAATCTTGTGGCTGCCCTAGATGATAAAGTTAATATTTGATTGACTTTAAATTTATGCACGGTGTTTAAGGTCATGGGACGGAAAAGCCTATTGGGTTCGATATTAATTACTGCCAGAGTTATACAGCTTGATCAAAACTGAAAAATCTTTTTGTCATGAGACGAAGAATCCTATTGATTTTCAACGATTTACGATCATTACTGCCAAAGTTATGGCCCTTGATTACTTTGAAAAATCTTGTTTGTGAACACAATCTACAGGTCACAATTTCTATCCGATTTTGAAGAAAATTGAAATGTAGGTTAATATCCAAAAGATCTTGGTTCCTTTCGATATTCATGCATATTGGACGGTAACTTCCTGGATTATGTTCCCTGATCGTACAAAAAAAACCCATTGTTTTTAGCTAGCTCCCTGTCCAACTCATGCAAAATGTGGGCGAATTTTACATGGAAACCGCTGGTAAATTTATACATTGTTCAAAGTCATGAGACGAAGACGGCTATTGATTTTCTAGGATTTACGATAATTACTGCCAGAGTTATCTCCCTTGATTACTTCAAAAAATCTTGTGGATGCTCTATAGGCCAAAGTTATCATTCGATTGACCTTAAATTTATACACAGAACATGTATATTGATTTTTACTTGAACAGCTAAATCCATGATATTAAATGTTTTGTATACTAAACGTTAGCATGGAGCAGAACAGGAAGCCAAACAAATTCTACTTATTTCTGATAATTATATTATGAGTTGTTACTCTTAATCAGATTTTAGTGTTTATTACCAACCCCAAAAAATTTAAAAAATGGGACAACCCTTGTTGACTGCCCGAATGACTTAGCTGCTGTGGGCGTATGGCAACCTATCTTTTTTATTTTGATAAATATGACAGTAGTCCAGAAAATGAATATCAAAATGTGATAATAAAAGCTTGCTGATGAATATTAAATGTTTTTTTTATTTTTTTTTTATTTTTTCATTTGCACAAATGTTCATTTGGCCATACACAATATATAATCTCACTATAATGTTACTGTAGAATCCAACTTCAATCTTTAGCTTTACTTCTAAATATTGAAATATTCTTAAATTGAGACAGTGCCTAAAGTAAAACTAATTTGACACTGGTGATGTGAATAGTATACAAGTGTAACACTGGTTTAACCCGTGTTTAAAAACACAGATACATGTTAAGACCTAAATTCAACAACATGATAAAATAAAACCATTACCCAACTTTGGCACTGGACTTAAAACTGAACCACAGGTGGCCAGGTGGTGTACATATATACATACATGTGTACCGCTAATTAACACAACCTCAACACCACAGACATTCAGATTGACTTCAAATACAGAGAGGGACTGGGATAGTGCTACACCATGCTAACCCATGCTAACCCATGCTAAACACTACACCAACTTAACCTGGATTTGAATTGAATCTTCATGTTTCATCATAATAGAAACAAGTTATATAGTTTGCTACTTTCATGATAATAATTAATCAGTGATGACCTCATTATTTGAACGTATTTTATTTGTGATGTAAGCTTCTGAATGATTTTAGGAAGAAGATCCAGGTAGTCTAACAACATGGTTTTGAATCTGTTGCACCATAGACAATTTTATTATTTGGATATATCAAAATCTGGGAACTCTAGATATATTCTCAAACATTAAAATGTCTTCAAATTGCTGGTATTTTTGGGAGCTTCACTCAATTGTCTTGTCTAGAACAATGGTAAGACATTGTTGACACAGTTGTAATTTCACTGCATTGGAAGTTAATCCATCTTTGATTGCTGTTGTAACTGTCCTTGATGTGTGAAACTATAAAAACTTTAGTTGGAAACTAACCTAGCTTGCTAAAAGTGAAAAGTTCATTATTAAAACAAAAGATGCACATAGGCATTTATAGCATTATTAAATGCAAACCTCATTTTTTATCCTGATCCATATTGAAGTATTAATTTTTAATATTTAACTTTGTTCAGGGGTATTTACGAGAAGGGAAATGTCATCTGGTTTTGGGGAATGCATCAGCGGCCATTAGAAGTTACCAGCATGTTTTACAACTTGATCCCAAAAATGCAACCTCACAAAATGAAGTAAGTACAATTCTGTCCCATTGTTGATACTTTATCATGGCTAAAAATGTGAATTTCATTGAAGTTTAGTAGGTTTTTAATGATTACTAACATTATTTATTCTATTTCAGATAAAAACATCAGAACAAATTTTAGATCTCACAGAAAAAGCTGAAATTTGTTATGAAAGGCAAGATTTTAGAACGGTTAGTGGTAAATCAATATTTAAAGGCTAAGAAAAATAATCTTAAACCTATCCCGTATAACAAAAAATATTCTGGTTCGCGGCCAACCATTCAAATTAATGACCATGTTTATTCATGCTGTTGATGCAAATTCATTTACATAATTACTTAGTCTTATGTTAAACATCAGTTAACTGATATTCACCTCTCTCTCATCTACAGTTGTAATGCAAATGCTCTTCCTTCCATGTTCCATCTTGATTGAGTATTATTTCAGTCATCTTTCTCAGTAATGAGCATTTCCTACTTCGGTTGAGCATAGTTGAAAACAATTTGATTTGTTGAGACTTTGGAGCTCAATAACTTTGTTTCTAATTGAGTAAGAGTGGTGAAACTTGGTGTATAGTTTCATATTTATACGCCCACATTTGGTGAAACTTAAAATATGTTTATATTCCAAAGATCTCGGTTCCTTGCGATATTTGCGCGTATCAGACCATAACTTCCTGGATTATGGCCCCTGATTTTACCAAGAGTTAATCTAGATGAAGTCACATAATTGTTCTGCCGTTATTTCAAAATCTTCAGCTTTATTGTTGACATCTATGATAAGTGTTTATTTCAAATGATTTTTTTTTTTCAGACTATATATTACATGGACAAATGCCTTGTCCATTGTTCAGGATGTCAGAGGTTTAAAATATTAAAAGCTGAAAGTTTAGCATTACTGGGTAGATATGATGAATCAGAAGAATTAGCTAAGTAAGTTAAATCTCTAGACTGAAATCTTTTATTGGACAAACTGGGATATATTATTTAGTCAAAAACATTAAAAGACTGAACTACTGTCATTTATATGAGTTTTGAATGAACATTGACTGAAATCCTTGTTAATGACTCAAACTTATTTGTTTTGAAAGGCATATAATAATGTTAAACCATTGATATAGAAATATTTCCTTCTACAGAAAGTTGACTAGTTAGGACAATGGATTCTTGACTAGACTGTTCGGGTTGAATCCTGATGTGATCCGAGAAATGAGATGGGGTTTAATGTCCTACTTTTATAAGTTGAGAAGATTCTTCAGGATTTTTAAAGCCTGGTATTCACTTGTCAGATTCAGGGCCCATGTGGATAACAAGATAGGACTGCCCAGTCATTCAGATTGTACGAAAACCTAAGGTTCATCCATGTACACATTGGTGTGTACTAAAAAGAGTCCTTGTCAGTTGAAATCTTAAGAATACATGGAAATGTCATGTTTCGAAAATTATCCTGCACCGAATTGCACTAATACAATAGACATTGCCATATGTTTGTCTCAGGATGACAAGTATTGTTGATAAGACATTAAACACCCCATTTCATTCATTCATTCATTTCTCACCAACACTAAGCTTATAGTACATGCTCTTCCCAATCATGATTCCTAAAGCAAAAGTTATTGTGTCATTTTATTGTCTATTTTGGACCATAGTTTCACAATTTGTGTTCCAATAACGAATCAAATTATTTGAATAAATGTTCATTTATTTCAGTAATATATTATTATGTGATAATATGTGTGCTGATGCTACATACGTCCGCGGCTTGTGTTTGTACTATAGAGACAATTTACCAAAAGCTTTTCAACATTTTCAAAAAGTATTGCGTCTGGCACCCGATCATCAACGAGCTAGATTAGCATACAAAGTAAGATATTATGTAATAATCCACTCCCCTGAAAGCTCTGTTCTCCCCTGAAGAATGCTAATATCCCTACAAAAAATATTTGAGCCCCATGGAATATTCTACAGGAAAATTTTCAACAGTTGTTTAATACCAAAGCAATATGACCAAATTGTGAATAACACTCTTGAGCCTGACATGCTCAGTGAACATGGACATACATTTAATTTATCTCTAAAATAAATCTAAAGCAGTGATTTTATTGTAACGATTGTCATAATTAGCTCAATAGCTATATAGATTTATAGCAGCTTTTATTTGATTTAGATGTAATTCAAAGTGTAACTCATATTGTTAATTTGTTCTTCAGAAAGCAAAACAACTCACATCCAAGAAGGAAGAGGGAAATGATGCATTTCGTTCAGGAAAATATCAACATGCACATGATCTCTATTCTGAAGCCTTATCTATAGATCCTTATAATAAATCTACCAATTCTAAATTATTCTGTAACAGAGCCACAGTCTCCGCTAAAGTAAGACATTTAGGTTACTTTAAATTTAAAAGAAAAATACAACTATTTTTTATACGCCCAAGTATATATTTAAGTTGTAGCCCAGTTCCACTCTAGAGGTTAATGTTATAATCTGATTCAACACTGTTTATGGTGAACGAAGAAAGCTGTTGATATTCAGCCATTTTCTATTACTAGTAATTTTAAATATTTCTGATAATTACTTTATAGTTTGTTTTAATAGTCTGTTATAAAACTATTGTATCTAATGTCATTGGTATCCAAAATGATTGTTAAATACCCCCCCCCCCTCCCCTACCAGTTAGTGAATGTGACTGATGCAGTGTTTGCTTTTGAAATATGTGACCCAAACGTTGTACTTGTTGGCATAGGCAATGTTTCAACAAAATGATTATTTAGAACCAATGAATAAATGATTAATAAAATTTGGATGCTGGTTTGAAATTTGAAATGGCAATGACATGGAAACAACATTGATGAGGTCAGTGTGAAAATAGACCAGCCAAGGCAGCTCTTTCTACATCATTAAACAGTTAGTTCGTGGTCTAAGGGGAGGCAACTCACTGATATGGAGGAGTTGACTTAAAGGAGCTAAATCGCTAATATTTGGGACCTAGAAATTGACACGAATCGGTCGCAATGCATACAATAATGTGATATGAATGTATATAAATTGATTTACATTTAATCGTTTCTGTTTTTACTGTAATTTCTAATCAGTTAGATTCGGCGAAATATGACAGAAGTCTCAATCAATGGAAATCTCTAGCATCTGGTTATTCCAGCCCACGCCGATAGTATTTATTGCGCATGCTCTCCAGATAAGAAGATAGCGTCACCGTTTGACATGACTTGTGGAATGTGCCTAGCCTCGTTTTTCGAGTCCCATATTACCAATAGCGCTGAAACATTATGGTACATGATTCGTGTACCAATTGTAAAATGTTTAGTTTGTCTTAAATTTTGGATATCAGAAGGCCATCTTTTCCCGGTAAGATCACAACATCAATGTTTATTTAAACCGACAATTAATTTGTGTTTTCAATGTTGGAAGATTTTGGATGATATTGAGTTAGAGACTTTGCTACTTTAAACTAATTATTTTATATTTTGTTCACAGCTTAAAAAATATGAAGAATCTGTAGATGATTGTACAAAAGCCATAGAATTAGATGAGTCTTATGTTAAAGCTTTCTCCAGAAGAGCAAGAAGGTAAGAAAAACTATGTTTTTATATACTATACTTAATCTTGTTCTAAAGAATGACTGTGAATGTAATTTACATCTTTGATCTTTCCCTAATTAAGAATTAGATTGTTTTGATGTGTGTTTTTATAAGCCAACATTATAACGTGAGGTTACAATCAAGGGCTGATCTCTTTGAAATTTCTAACGACTTAGCTGCTAGTAGGCGTATGTTTCATTTCCTGACACCCTGTGATTGATTTTGTTTATAGTTATATGGAATTAGAACGGTATGAAGATGCAGTAAGAGATTATGAAAAGATATTTAATTTAGAAAAAACAAGAGGTAAGTTTCCAAGAAAAGACTATAAGACTATGTAGAATTGTGAATGTTAAATATGTTACACCCATCTACCTGTGTTTTTGTGGAATACTTTTCGATATTATTAGTATTACAAAACAGATGTAGGCCTAATATGGCAAAAGAAAAAAAAAATATTGTGCTTCTCAGACAAAATCGAATGCGAAACATGGATAGGGGAAACTATTTTATTATATATCTGTATCATTGTACAGAATATGACCTGCTATCTACTTGTAAAAATGTTGAGAAATGAAAGTTTAAAAATTTATTTAGCGATTTTATTCCAGAAGAAATATTTTTTGTTAAAAATAGGTAAGTAGTGCCCATGAATAGACTGTTTCTTGTATGTAAAAAGGGGAATTTTAGAACTTTAAAACCAAATTGGTGTTTTCTCTTAAATTCCAACATAAAATTTATTCTTATCGATATGATTTGAATATTATATTTCAGAGAATAAAAAAATATTAAATGATGCCAAACTTGAGTTAAAGAAGAGTAAACGTAAAGATTATTATAAATTATTGGGTGTCCAGAAAGGTGCAACTGAAGAAGAAATAAAGAAAGCTTATAAAAAACGAGCTTTAATACATCATCCAGGTATGTTCATCCCCTCTATGAAATGAAATTTAAATGGGTTTAATATATTCAACCAAAAATGTTGATAAGTATATAATGTTTTAATTAAAGCGACATTTCATTGAGGGTACTCTCAAAGTTTTCAAGCAAATAATAGTAATTGTGTTCCATATTATGTTTTTGTGTTTATTATGTATGTCAATTTCTAAATGCCACTCAAAGGAGATATATAATGTTTGGTTATGTTTCTAATAGTAAAACATAGATAAAATTCATAAGTAAACATAAGCCATTAATGATGGCACATATTATTGACATTGCCGATAATCTCTTATTAGCGATTATTGATGTGAAATATTGAAAAATGTTATCACAAGTAAAATCAATAAAAATTAGCTTTAAATCTTGCACTAAACATCATAAAACTATATATTCCAAAATATGTTAGTGAAGATTGCAAGTTTTAATAGCTAATGTGGCATTTACATTAGCATTCCCAATTTGGTTAGATTGAGTTCTTCTGCCGTTTGCATAAATTCTAGTACAGAAATTGACATAACAGTGGCATGGTTATCTCTGAGGCTTATGACACTTCTAAGAAGATAATACTGATTTAATGAAGCTCCAGGCAGTTTTTGTTGATCTTCGTTGTGTAAACAGATGTGAATCGATGAAATCGAACATTGAAACATCCCTGATATTTTCTATAATTATTCGACAACAACATTCCAATTGTTGATAGTAAAAATTTGTATTGGTTGCCAACATCATAAATTATTATTTATGCTATTGTAGATCGTCATTCACATGCAGAAGAAAAGGTACAGAAAGAAGAAGAGGTAAAATTTAAAGAAGTAGGTGAGGCGTATGGTGTTTTATCTGACAGTAAAAAACGTACGAGGTATGATGCAGGACATGATTTGGAGGAGATGGATGGAGGTGGTGGTGGATTCCGTAAGTATAAATGGTAACATGATGACTAATAGTTTAAGCCACATGTTGAATCTCTGTGTTAACTAAGAAGAACAGTACTGTCTGATTTTGAAGTCTGGTTCTCATTGAGTGTGGAAATGTGTGGATCAAACAGCTGGGATTTGAAAAGACTAGGGCTGGACTGGTCTGTTCAAAATTCTCCATCCTAGAAGTTCACATTAAGCCATTTTTGACAAGTGCGAATCAGCTCGCACCCTGTAATTGACGGTAGCAAATAACTTCCCGGACCCATCATACCTGGGAACGGCATTTGCGAACAAAAGCGCCAGATCAATCAACTGATTTATGTTGTTTTTATTTCTTAAATTAATGGTGATTGGGTAATAAAAATAAACCACCCAATAAAAGGGAATGTTACATTCGCTAATTATCCAATAAAATACATGCAGTATTTATGTCACAGATCAGAGGTAAAAATCATGCCACGATCTGCCATTTTGTCATTGTTTCTTCAAGAATTGAACACTTCTTACGGCAAATATTTATTGGATATGGATAGTGATATGGAATCAGAATTTTTGGGATTTACATCTGCTGATATTGAGGAAAGTGCACATGTGGATTATAGTGAGTTTAATTTTCAATTTTCGGCGCTATCAAGCGAAGATGAAGAGGAAAATTCTGATGGGGGAAACTGACAACCAAAACATAGAAATACGGGGAAATGGACCGATAATTTACAAGCCATTGAGACGCCAAGTTTACAGGACCCGTACCCGACCCAGCAACGGAGATGAGTGAAGAAAAGAGTGAAGTTGAGTTTGTAGAATTGTTTTTTGAACCAGCCACAAATCAACTAATTGCTGACGAAACGAACAGATACCAATCATGTAAGAATTTATTATTCATCTATCGAGAATCTGTATGTAATGGTCAAAAGATACATTTTTGGGGCAGTATGAACTTAATTAGATTTTGCCATATTTACATGTCAAGGAAACCAATACCTAAAGAGGCCAGCCGGACCATGACAAATTACATCATACCAGACCATTGATTGACATGATACCAAAAAAACTGCTTGAAAGAGTATAATTGTCATCAGAATACATCAATTGATGAGGCAAAGATTACCTTTCACAAAAGAATCGGCTGTAGACAATATACATGTATGCCAGCAAAACCCGTCAAGTATGTCATCAAATCCTGGGTTAGAGCTGACCCATTCAGTGGATATGTAAATGAATTCCAAATGTATACTGGTAAAGAAGAGAGGGAACAGCAGAAGTCGGCCTTACAAAGAAAGTTGTAAAAGAACTAACAGGGAAAGTTAAAAACAGGGGAAGGATAGTTAATACAGACAACTTTTATACCAGTCCAGCCCTTTTCAAGGAACTGTTACAGGATGGAATAAAGCAGGAAAAACTGGCCAGCAGAACTCACCAAAAAAACAGTAAAAAAACAAGGAGAAAGTGTGAAGGTACAAGATGGTCAGATGACTGCAGGAGTATGGAAAGACAAAGGGGTTGTGCATTTTGTGTCAACAGCTGACAACACTGACACATAATTTGGAAGTAATCAGATTGCAAAAGGATGGCTATTTGGGATTTGTTTTGTTTCTTAACAACCATAATCGAGTATAATAAATACATGGGTGGAGTTGATCCATCGAATGTGCAAAAGATGGTGGGTGTACATGTTTTATTTCCTGTTGAACATCAGTATTTCTAATGATTTTATTTTATACAAGGAATCAAAAAATCACAGCAATAGAAAATCAAAAGATTTAATGACATTTAGAATTAACTTGGTGAAACCTCTTCGTGAAATGTCAGTGGCATGCAGAAAAAGAAAACACTCTGTAATGGAAGAAGTCAGTTCAAATGAAAATATGGATCACTTCCTGTGAAAATGAGCATGAAAAAACGCTGTAAAAATTGCCATCTAAAAGGAAAAATGTCTGAGTCATTCTATCGGTGTGATGCATGTGCCGTGCATTTATGTGTAGTTTGTTTCGGGCCATTTAACAAGCGATGAACATTTTCTTTGCTTATATTTTAAAATTGTTAGAACAAATCATTCTATGGGTTATTCACATTGTGATAAATAATTGTTTTATTCTATGGATTATTGTGATAAAGAATTGTTTTATTCTATGGATTATTGTGATAAAAATGGTGTGATTATATTTTATTCTATGAATTATTGTGATAATAAAATTGTGTGATTATATTTTGAAATTGTCAGAAGAAATCATTCTGTGGATTATTGTAATACATGTGTTTTTATAACTATAAACTCTTTGCTTTTATAATTATCAGATCAGTGCTTTTATAACTTTTATAATTATCAAATCAATGTTTTTTATAACTATCAAATCAGTGCTTATATTTAAAAATGTTATTTCAAAAACAGTGCTTATTTTACAAAATATTCCAAGTATTTATTAAGAAAAGTGTAAATATTTATGTAGATATGTTTTATGTGATATTGATAATATATGTATAAACCACTGAATAATCTGATCGATTCTTGTGGAAAACTAAATGTAGTTTAAAGTAGAATCCCTATTTTGAAAGTAGATATGTTTTTTTTTATATATATTCTTTTGTGCAATTCTAATTTGTTGATTTCTTGTAAAGAAAAATTACTCTTTTAGTTCAACAGACATTTAAATGTTATTTTATTGCTGTAAATCACACTTTACGTGATTAAATTACGTATAATTCTTTAGTGCTACAAATCCTCTATATTTTTGTAATAAAATATATTTTATATAAAGAATAGTTTTTTTAGTTATTTGCAATTTTGACGAGGGTATAAGGATTAACAAAAATCCACTAATTGGCTTGGGAAGATGAGTCTGCTGAGTTAATAGCTCTAGGAATAGGATGGCTAATCTCTTAATAGGCTCTTGGGTTAAATGGATTAATCCCTATACCAGCAAATCACATCCAAATAATAAGTATTGTTATCATATTTTTAAACCATACTGATGAAAAAAAAGTACTAAGATGTTTGCTGTTTTCACTAAATAAAACAAAATAAAAACAATGTTAGCAATGTTATTTTTATAGACAAATTTAAAATGCCATATTTACTTCTTTTACAGACCAAATGGATCCAAATCAAATATTCCAGATGATGTTTGGTGGAGGTGGCATGAACGGGTTCCATTATTCTTCAGGTGGAGCTCAACATCACGGTCATGGATTTAATTTCCAATTTGGATAATTTTTGCTGTAGTTAATGTTAATTCTTCTGCGGGTGTCTGAAAATGTAAAAATTTATTAGTGATAATTTGATAAAAGCTTGCATACAGTTGTTAATTAATTTAATATAATAAACGTACCAGATTTACCAAATGTAAATATATCCTCTACGTTTTTTAAAATGTTTCGGTGATATTGTCTGTGCTGTAATTATATCATGACCTTCTATTGCTTTATAAAAGTGAAGAGAGACAAAGAAGTAATCAAATTCTGTGTGAAATTATTTTGACTGAATGGGTTGTATATCATCATCACTGAATGAATTAACAATAAAAGCTCATCATTGTTATCATATAGACTGTTCAATGCAAACTTAACCATCATCCATCTTCATTAGCTCAGTTAATGGAGAAAAGTAGGACATTAAACCTCATTTCATTATCTTACCTTTATATACATGTAAATTATTTTACTATTTATCTTATCTTTTCATCATTTTAAATGTTTTTTTGCTAGGATTGGCCGAGTCAGCAACTGTTATTTTAAATTGTATATGTTTATTTGTACTAATATAAGTGCAGAGGGACTGCACCACACATAATTACACAAAACAAACTATGGACAATACACAATATGCAGAAATCACAAACGTACGTACATATCAGATAAAGTGAATGGATCCGGGGGCTATCTGTAAGTGTCCACTGCGCTGTACAATCCGGGCCTGTAGTGATACAGACTTCACTCAAAATTGAAAGACAATTATGAATAAAACCCAATAACCTAGAGAAATACATTGTGCAATACTAGTACGAGTCATGATCTGCAATATGCCACTTGAAATATGAATGTAAGCATATTGAAGTAAAAAAATTAGGTATACAACTAACCATATCGATATGGTCTATGTTATAGTGAGAAACATTTTAAGTGTTCAAAAGAATTGAGGTATATCGACTATAGCGATTTCTTGGCATCTTAATCCCAGTTTTGGCATAGTTATTTTTCACTGGTGCAAGTAAATTTAGATCAATATAGATGATTTGCACTGTAGATTGGCATGCAGTTATTTCAGTATTAGGACATTTATAATGTGTGTATCAAAAGTATATATTTACAGTAAATCGTATCTTTTTTAATGACAATAGATTTTTCTAGTGTCGGTAAATTCAAAAATCAGTCCCTGTGCATCTTTTGCATTTTTTTTAAAAAAAAAAATATCAAATTTTCCACAGCTTATGGTGGTTCTGGCTTTCGATCATATCTTACAGTATTTATATCATTTTCAGAGGATATCAAATGTTGACAAATTTTCAATTCAAGAAAACTTTGTAAATACTGACCATAATTGAACCAATTTTGGACAAATTCCTTTTGGAGATTCAACTTGTACTATATTGTAGTTTGCAATGGATTCCTCACTCCCTGTTAATGGTAATGATTTATTTTTAATATAGCGATTTACATAAAAGCATCTCAAACCGCTTTACATCAATATAGTAATTACCTAGTGTATAATTCAATGATAGACAGTACATAAAATCATTCTAAAAATAACATTACAAGTAATTAAAAGAAATATCAACAATAACTAGACATCTTGACCTAATACTATAAAACTCTCGAGTATGTTATATAATTTCTAGTTTCATATTTACAATGTATGGCATATTTCATAATCTTGCGGCCTCAATAAAATTTTCTAAAAACGTGTTTTCAGTGCGGTTTTGAAGGAGGCGAACAAATCTATATCACGGAGAGAGGCTGGCAGGCTATTCCACAGATGTGGTGCATAGATGCAAAAAGCGCGGTCACCGTATGCTCGTGACGGTTTTGGTCTCATATTGTGATTCACCAGTTTTACACTACAAGTAATTAAAAGAAATATCAACAATAACTAGACATCTTAACCTAATACTATAAAACTCTCGAGTATGTTATATAATTTCTAGTTTCATATTTACAATGTATGGCATATTTCATAATCTTGCGGCCTCAACAATAAAATTTTCTAAAAACGTGTTTTCAGTGCGGTTTTGAAGGAGGCGAACAAATCTATATCACGAAGAGAGGCTGGCAGGCTATTCCACAGATGTGGTGCATAGATGCAAAAAGCGCGGTCACCGTATGCTCGTGACGGTTTTGGTCTCATATTGTGATTAACCAGTTTTACACTATCGCAGCTTTTAGTGCGGATTTTAGGGACATGAATTTCAATCAGTTCAGTCAGGTAGAATGGTGCCGACCCACCATGATGGATCAGTTTGAATATGATGCATAGATTTTTGAATTCTACTTTCATTATTTTGTCTAATGTAAGTCTGTTTATTAAATACACCTATACATGTCCTACTGAGAGTATAAATATGATTATTATAAAATCTGATATAACTGTAAAACTATTGATTATTCCGTGATATATTGGTAGGCAGATTAAACAACTGCTGAAAAGCATTTTACATGTAATAAAAGTCAAACATAATAATATTTATCTATTATTGTATGTTAATTGTAGTTATATCATTCTATATTTATATTATATTTACACACCACATGTAGATATTTTAACATTATAAAGACTTTTGTTGCATGTATCAGGGAATGTTTCTTTAGACGAAAGTTCACTACTGATTGAAGATCAGTTCATTAACCAGAAGCTTCCCCCATCTTAATTCCACTAGTTATTTTTAGTTTATTATAATTAGATGTTCTATTTGAAAGGAGCATATGTTTCTTAAAGTTTAGATTATCATTTTACATAGAGACGGTTATATAAGCTAGTCACCCTGTTATAATTCAAATGTCTATAAATATGATCAATGATTGGTTTTAAAAGATAGAAAAGACATTGTTCATTGATAATGTAAGTAATACATGTACAAACTCAATTCAACAATTATGTTTATGTTGGCAAGCCAAAAATATGTGTTATTAATTCATACTAATTGTTGAATTTGAGCTTTGGTACTAGCTTTATTCCTCAATAACATCACTTTCTGTAAACAAATGTCATTTTAATCACCAACCAATCTAAGAATTTTCAAACCTGGTTTAGAAATGTGGAGGTTTGTATTAGATTCAATAAACTTTTAAATGGTCATAATATAACATGTTTTACCTCCATGCAAAGACTAGGCGTGGTTGGTTTTTATAAATTAATAACAATATTGCCACTTTAAACCCAAAACACGGCAACATTTAATTTGAATTTTTCATCCATTAACAAAGAAAAAAATAAACTTATATTGAATTATAAAAATATTAGTATCCCCTGATATTTTACAAGGATATAATAAAGAATAAAGTAAACCATTTCCTTAAAATCTTTACATATATAAATATTTGGTCATTATTTTAGGAACAAACATGGGAGGTGTGAAAATTGTCACCAATCAAAGAAAAAAATATAAATTTCATGTGTAAATAAATCATTTATTGTGGCTATAATCCATCAAGTCGGTGTATTGTAATGAAAGATGTGTATATATACACACTTTGACTTCTTGATGGTAAACATTTTATATATCTATATTTATTTGTAGAAAAATCTATTGTGTATGTTTCATGTAGTAGGAATAATTTGGTAATGCTTTGAATATGAGAAATGTTTTGGTTGACTAAGAAAATCAAATTTACAAGTAGCTAGTTGTTTGGTTGAAAAAAAAACAACCTCCGGCAATTTTTAACATCTAAGGGATAATCAAAAACTGGTTAGATTAAACGAGAGATGTGTTGATGTGTAATTGATTTTATGTTAGTTGATTTTATGTTCATATATATATATATATATATATATAAATAGTTGATGTAAATATATAGATTAAATGACTGTATATACTACAAGCTTACTTACAGTTAACAACTTGGTTATCCTATTGTAAATATTACAACAGAGTTTTTTTGGAAAACAATAAAATGTATTTGTATGTTATTTGGAGTATTGTCATATTATTCAAGTTTATTCTTAAAGGGGCATTAGTTAAGATTAGATAAAGAGCTGATAGTTCTCTCTATAATAGTTAAAATATTGATAATGTAAAGAAAATATGCTAAAAATTTCAGTCCTAATGCTTCATTCTGAAATAAACAGGATATAGTCAGAACAGGCCAGATCCAAGCTGGGAGATTAAACTCTGAAAAATCAGATATTGTCCGAAAAATGTAAATGACAATCACTAGTTTTAAATGGGATTACTTTAGGTGATATACCATTCGAAGCAATTTCATTTGGGGATTTATAATAAGTCAGTAAGTCTTAAGTGTTTTGATAAGGTAGACAATCATGCAAAATCAATGCTTGAGGATTCTCCAATTTATGTCAAAATTGAATGTGAGAGAGCAACCAGATTTTTATTTGCTATTTTAAAATATTGTAATAGCTTGTCACATTGTAATGAGATTAATGTTTATGTGATATTTGCATTTTGTCGGAAAATATTTTTCTCACAGCTTACAATAACACGACATCACTCCACAATACAAAGACTTGTTTACTGGCAATTAGCCTACCCGATATTTCAAATAGACGGAAAGTTTAACTTTGAAGAAATGTAGGGCTGTTTTGTTGACAGATCCTTTCAAGAAAAAGTGTACCATTTACGGTATATTGATGTAATTTCACTTCATTGTATCGTTTTAAATACGGAATAGAATTATTGGGCTGATATTCCTATTAGAAATTCAACTGCTACAATATTGTAGTCCGCAAGGGCTTCCTATATCACAGAGATCAGGCTCTGAAACTAACTGTATTATATTGTAAATTGCTAAAGCACTTTACGAAATCACCTTTTGCAAATAATGACTTACACTAGACCTACAAACCATGTTGACAAAGCATATGGTATCATCAATCATGACCACACAGAGTGTTACTGGAGCAACAACCTGAGCAGGGATTCGAAAAGTGGGATCCCACTCATCCTTGACATAATTATGTATTATTTCATGAGTTGAAGGCCTACTGCTTCCAATTAGAATTCAGATTAATTGGATGTAGGTGCATTAGCCTTGCAGTAAAGTAGTTTAAAACCGAACAATTGCAACAAATAAATTTGAAGTTGTCTCCCATTAACAGTCAAAAAGACATAATGAAAGACTCGATTATTGGTACTGGGTAATAAGCGAAACCATCATTTTGGAAGATCAAGACTAAACCGGAAATTTTATCTAGCGCGTTTCTGTATTGTTTTGGTATTGAGAACGAATTAATTTGTCAATTGTACATACTACAAGACACACCATATCACGATACAATTTAAATTAAATTCTGTTACACAAATACATTTGTTACTGTATTAGAGACGGCACCGTTATAGACGATAGAGAACCGAACTTTTGAATGTCAACGTACAAACAAGACGGTGGACCGATTTGTCTGGGGACAACGAACAGAGCAATGAAAAAAGTAAACATGAAATAAACACTAAAACAGGAGAGAATAGAGTATAGCCTACAAAAGTAAATCAGATATTTGAAACAGATTGCGGAATATGAACCCTCGCTTAAAGTAATATATAGAGAGAGTTGTAGCACGATTTACTCAAATTCTCCCAAATCCACCCACCATTATTTATTTCAAATGAAATGATAATTTTTATCAGCAGTGGCTATTGTTACCACAAATGCTTTCAGAGCCCTCCACCGGCGAAGTTAAAAACTGAATAGTCCTGTGGCTATTGTTACGACCATCGATTTCTATTACTCCTCTGAATCAATGGACTTCAACTTCACTACAGGCTTGGATCCAGGGGGCCGTGCCCCCCCCCACGACACTAATACAAACCACTAATGCATGTGGCACTCTGATGATTACCCTTTGCTCCAATGTATGCTCCCCCTCGACAAAATCCTGGATCTGGGCCTAACCCTAAACTTTGTCGATGGAGGGCTCTGAAAGCATCGTCATAACAATAGCCTGAGGACTATTTTTGTGACTCTTAACAATAGCCACTGCGTGATTTATAATCTACATTTGATAGCCTACTGTTCTTTATGCCAAATTGACATTTTAAATATAAAATCGTAAACACAATTTCTAAGCATGTGATTTTGTGCACTAACCCAAGTTATGTCCCTGGGTTCAATTGCATTTTGGAGGGGGGGGGGGGGAGAATTCTGACACAAAAACATCACAATTTTAATTTAAAAATGAAAACTTAGCATAAAGAACGGTATATTATCAAATATAGATATAAATTATTGTGATATGAGTTAAAATAATGGTGGATTTGGTTACAACTTCCAAACTTGCTTGGAAATCGCATTTTGACACAAAAACCTTACGATTGTAAATTAAAAAGGACAATTTGGCATAAAGAACGGTATATTATCAGATATCGATATCAATTATTGTCTTATGAGTTGAAATAATGGTAGATTTGGGTGGATTTGGGTAAATCATGCTACTAGGAAACAACCACCCACAAAGACTTCATATAGGCCTTTATCTTAGGGCAGAAAGGCCACCTGTTTGGCTAAGAAAAATGTCTATGCACCCAGGTCGGTTAGGTCCATCTGACTGTGCCTTGATGACACTTTAATCAAGTCCCGTTATTATGACTGCCGTTATTATATGGCCAAATAGTGTTCTTTAGCTTGACAAATAAATAAACAAAAAACTAGGCTAGCTCGATTTTCATGGATAGAATCAAGTTATTCTTGAGGAGGAGATGTATGTTATAAGATGCTCTCATGATCAATATACTTTTTTAGAAGACTACTGTTTAAAGATATAATCTTTAAGTGGCATTTGGCGATTTAGGAATACATTAAAAGAAAATCGATTTTTATGGGATATCAATCACTGGTTTTATCCTAAAAGCACGAATGTTTCGACAAGAATCCTCTTATCATTATCAAGCACAATATCAACACGAAGTGCTTGATAACGATAAGAGGATACTTGTCCTGCTGTTAGAATAAAACCAGTAATTGATATCCCATAAAAATTGTGTTCTGTTTAATGTTTAGAGATACATTTATAGGGTAGTTATTTCTAATAAAAGTATGGCAAATTTGGTAAAGACAACCAATCTTACTAGAAAAATACTGAATTTTCTAAAAAAAAAAAACCATTGATGAGGTGCACACATGTCAAAAAAGGGGATCACTAACAGGCAATAAAAGAATACTGAATTTTCTATAAAAAAAAACATTGATGAGGTGCACACATGTCAAAAAAGGGGATCACTAACAGGCAATAAAAGTATGGCAAATTTGGTAAAGACAACCAATCTTACTAGAAAAATACTGAATTTTCTAAAAAAAAAAACATAAATGAGGTGCACACATGTCAAAAAAGGGGTTCACTAATGGGCAGCCTAGCCGTCTCTTGGCATCTACTTGAATGGATTTTATTGATCATATGGCTGGAGGCTGTGAGAACAGTGCTGACTTGGTGATTAAACGGCAGAAAAAGAAGTTTACAGAATTAAGCTTCAATATTTATTATTAATGGACAGCCAGTAACACAAATTGTACATGTTGAAAATGGACACTCTGCTAAATCAAGTCAAGTGACAAACAAGGAGAGAGATTTAAAGCAGACATTTGATACATAAATTAATTTGAAATATATCATCAAAACACACAGTTTGTATATGGGAAGGTATATTTAATGTGTATGGACTGAAAATCTATAATTGCTTTTAATTAGTCTGGAATTTTGGTCTTTAGAAAACTAGTCCCTGAAAATGTGAATGTAAAATGCTTGGCTAATTAAAATTTACATATTTGTTTTCAGATGTGATACCTTTATTTCTCTCTAACTAGTATACATACCGAAGTCAGATAATTTCAAATACAGTAGTGCAAAATGAAGCTGGTAAGTTTTAGATTATCTTATAAGTGAATGGTTTAATAGATATATTTATGAATGGTGAAATGAAATGAAATGGGGTTTAACGTCCTACTGTTCTGCTCCGAACTGGGCTAATGGAGACGGGCATACACCATACAGTGTGCTATGAGGTAGATTTTGCCTGGACAGCGGTACTACGGCCTACTCTTATATCGAATTCCAACTGTCAAGGGATCTTTTACGCGTCCCCCCAATGTGTACATGGGACCTTGGTTTTTCGTCACATCCGAAGACTAGACAGCTGTCCTTGTCGGACCCTCCATCCTGCATCACTGACAAGGGGGAACCACGCTGGAAAATCTGGATTAACTTTCTCGGTCAATGCACTGATCGAACACCCGATCTCCAGGCTAGCGAGCCAGCGTCTTACCCACTTAGCCACTGTGATCCCCCTTACGATTGGTATAATTACTGCAAGGTGTGTTGTTTAAACATACATTATGCAAGAGCTAAATCTGCCTATTGTAGGTCTTTCTTTAGGACTGAAATGTTATATAAACTATTAATTAGACATTAATTAACGTATCCAGACCATAATCATGCAACTCTCGATGTCAATGCTAGCCTGTAACATTTGTTGGATTATGATCCGATTTGCTGCATAACTTTCCTTCTCGATTTAACGATTAAATGAATCAATTTGACTGAAATTTTCAGCAAATTGCCTTTACATTATCTAGTTTTTAACTATTATAGTGAGAACTGCCAACTCGCTATCTAATCTCCCATAATGTATCTTTAATTTAATAGGCAGTAATTTGTTTCAGGTTAAATTAAATATGAATTAGAGCTTCTTCTAACAATGATTAAATTAGTACCAGTAACTGAAAATGAAGATTATTTTGAATAAAAGCACCCAAAACATATCAGATAATAGTTGATTGGGATCGTTTAATATGCTTGAAATAATAACCTGAATTATTTGTTTTATTTTTCAGGTGTGTTTATCAAGCAATCCCAGCAAGCCATGTTTTGTTTTATATTTTAAAGGAGTTACGTTAATGTTAGATTGTGGATTAGATATAACTCAACTTCAACATTTTCTACCAATTCCAGTTGTTCCTGGGTAATATTACAAACTAGATTATATGTAATATGTATATCATGTTTTTAAATATGATAGGTAGCCATGTGATCAAGATGGGGGTAGGGTGGATAGAGCACCCCCGAGCAGCTTATTAGCTGTCACACTTAATACAAGTTTATTATTAACTAGCAGGATACCCGGCTTCGCTCGGGGGTCATAACTCTGAAACCGGAAGTGGTAGACTAACGCCACCTGGCCTATGTTACTCCCCGGTCCGAGCTACCCCTTTACCCCAAATTTCAGACTCAGGGCAGACCTAGTGTAGCCGCCAACCCCGAACAGACCGGCTTCGCTCGGGGGTCATAACTCCGAAACCAGAAGTGGTAGACTAACGCCACCTTGCCCATGTTACGCCCCGGTCCGAGCTACCCCTATACCCCAAATTTCAGACTCGGGGCAGACCTAGTGTAGCCGCCAACCCTGAACAGACAGACAGACAGATACCCGGCTTCGCTCGGGGGCCATAACTCCGAAACCGGAAGTGGTCGACTAACGCCACCTGGCCTATGTTACTCCCCGGTCCAAGTGTAGCCGCCAACCCTGAACAGACAGAGAGACAGATACCCGGCTTCGCTCGGGGGCCATAACTCCGAAACAGGAAGTGGTAGACTAACGCCACCTGGCCTATGTTACTCCCCGGTCCGAGTTACCCCTATACCCCAAATTTCAGACTCAGGGCAGATCTAGTGTAGCCGCCAACCCCAAACAGACAGACAAACAGACAAACGACAGTCACAAATATTAGTATAGATAAGGCTCAGTATGGATCACAAAGAACCTTTTCAGGGCCTGTCCCCACATGAATCGTCTGTTCTTTTTGTTCGGATATAAACGTTTCTTTTGAAAATGGATCATGTTAAATCAACATTGGAAATTTGAGGGAGGATAGGCAGATACAGCTATTCACTGATGCACCACCCTCTGGTGTTTTTACTGCATACTTCCATGATATACATCACTCAAACAGGCATCAGTTATGCATGAAATGTATAGTTCATTTGAATCTGACTCACTGTAGCAGAAAAATATTTTTTTTTAATTTGGTGACCAGGCATATTAGGATAAATGGAAGAATATCTGTTGAGATTATTTTATTGTTATATACTGACATCATTATGAATATTTATCGTAGTACCAGATATATAAACATTAATAAATGTTGATGCTAAACAATTTTATACTTCAGGACCCAGATATCAAAAGCCAGAAGTTGGACTCCTGGATTTGAAAAAAAGAATAAAATTGGTGATGCTGTAAGTTATTTGAGACATTAGGTCTACCAACTGATATGTTAAAATATAGAAAAAAATTCACCTTTTTTAGGGTTTGCATCAAGGTTCTTAACTCATTTTGAAACTTTCATGATGTCAAAAATGTATTTTACAGTTACATTTATAGCTTAATCACTTGTCAAAAGATATTGAAGACTTCCATGTTTTATCAGGTCTTTCTATTTGTTGTTCATGTTCATGAAACTTGTGTGGGTTTTGTGCCAACTTTAACCTTTGTTGCTACTTCCCTGTAATAGAATGGTAGTAGAATTCAAGGGTTGATTGGCTGAGGCCTGATATCGATCTATTGTTATGCAAGTCATCTGAAAATTCCATATTTACTGTGAATTTCAAAATGGAAATTATTAATGTCTAATAATAGAACATTTGTATGGGTATATCGCACAGTAAATGGCACCATTCACATTTCTGTGATTATAGAAAATAATTTAGGCTATCAGTCGACTACGTACTCGTCGTGTAATAAATAATCTGCCAGTATACAGGGTTATCAAAATGACTGTTAAAATTGCTAATTACTTGGATCATGAACTGAAAGGGTCTTCATTTGCCACACAGGAAACTTACTGAATCTGTTATGAATAATCACAATGCTTGTATATTTACGGGATTATCGAAATTGCCAATTCTCACTATTCTATGACTTATGGATTATAACTGGCAAGTTGATTGACATCTTAATCAACAAGTAATAATTAACCCTTTGTAACTGAGCCAGATTGATTTATGATACCATATTGGCCTGTACACTGTTTTACCAATGAGCCTTTTCAAACATCAATCGGCTGTAGCGGTCTATAAACTATTTATGTTGCTCATAGCTCAGACTGGCTGATCTACCTTCATATCAAATTCTCATTTATCATATAAATAAAGTCTTTAAATGCTTTGTTCTTGCCGTTCTAAAGTAAAGTTGAGTACCAAGGATAAATCTGTGAATTGTAAAATATAGTACATGTCTATTTTAATTGTAGTATCAAGAGGTAAAGGAATGTTCGGGAAGATTATTTATAGATGGATGTTTTGAGATGGCCATACCAGAAGTTAGTAGCCTTAATCACACTATAGTACCTGTACATGTGCAGTGCAACTTCGAGAGTTAAAACTTTTTAGTTATTGTTCCTGACCATTGAAATAGGTTTGACCGCCTGTCTGTTTGTCAAACCATTTGGAGCATGTAACTGTGTTTCTAACTGAGTTACAATGTTAAACTTGGGGTAGATGTTGATTAGGCGAGAGTCCTGACTGAGTTTGATACCGTAATGAGCATTATCTGCTTAGGCTGCGCAGAGATAATCGATTTGATTTGTTGATGCCTTGGGACATGATAACTTAGTTTGTAATTAAGAGTGGTGAAACTTGGTGTCTAGTTTCATTACACCAATACCTTTGTCTGAGTTCGACAATGTTTTCTGTTAAGCAGAGTGATAAGCAATTTCACTCTAATTGAGTAAGAGTTATGAAACTTGGTATGTAGTTTTATTACATCAATACCTTGACTACGGTTGATTATGGGTATTTTCGGCTTAGGCTGTAAGTAGAAATAATCAATTTGATTTATCGATGCTTTGGAGCACAATACCTTGACTGAGATAGATGATATACATATTCTACTCGGTGTAACTTTAAGCAGAGTGGTAAGAAAATTGATTGCTCAGTGCTGGATAAAGAATAACTGTGCAAGTAATTAATGACAGCTATCTGTTTATATTGGGATTCCTATAGGGCATTTAGCCTCACTGTTGGCTTGTATTTATAAACATGGATGTTGTCGACTGGCCTAATGAAGATATTCTGCCTTGTTTTGGTTGAATTGGCTTTATTAATCTGTCAAATCTAAAATCTGCAAATCCTGATTATTGCTACAATGATTGAAACATTGAAAACAACCCTTTTTATGGTCTAGGTATTGGAATATGATAGAAGAAACATGATAAATACGGTACCTATAGATGCTGGTATTGAGTTGTGTGATATCTTTTTTATATTTCAATTCTGCTGGCATTTTATACATTTTTTTAGAAATTTCTGACAAATATGGTCATTTATTTTAGTTGGAGATTATAGATTTAAGTCAGATAGATGCAATATTGATTTCTAACAGTACCTGTATATTAGCTTTACCATATATAACAGAGTATACAGGGTTTAAAGGTCATGTATATACTACAGAACCAGCTCTTCAAGTTGGCAGGTATATTATTTAGTTAATTTTTAAAACTAGTAGAATGTTACCCTGTGTTAGTAGAATGTTATTTCTAGAGTAGCAAGTTAATGTTTTTGTCCCATTTATAGAATGGATATGGCAGTTGAAAAAATCGAAGTCTGATTTTTTGTATTGGAGGCTTTAATTATGATCTGATCTATTTGAAATATTTACGAGTGCTCATTACTGTTTTGATGACTGGTGGGTTTATGTATTATTGTCTGGCACCCTGTATTAGATTTTGTATAGCAGATTTATTATAAAATACTTCAGATTTATTTTATATATCTGGAAGAAAATTTGTTTTTATATGTCTACAGAATGTATATGGAAGAACTGGTGAAATATGTTGAAAGAAATCCTAGAACAAATATTGCTACAAAATGGAAACAAGAAGAAGTTTTAATGTAATTTGTTACAATTATTATCCTCATTTCACATTTAAAACTTAATGGCAGATCAGAATAATTGATTTGTTATTAATTTGTAAACATACATTGTCTACAAATTAATCTTTGTTCTGAGTTTGTCTTTATGTTTTGATCATTGATTCAGAAAGAAATATAAATTCCACAAATACAAACGATAGATTTGTAACTGATGGTTACCAATTACCATAACAAAGAAATATCAGATCTTTTTAAAGGAGTCGGTATACTCTACTTCCCAATATTCGGTTGTGGGGGATCCACGGTAGCCAACTGAATAAGACGCTGGCTCGCTAGCCTGGAGGTCGCGGGTTCGATCCCAGTGTTGGCTGAGAAAGTTCCTCAGGATTTCCCTTTGTGGTTTCCACTTGTCAGTGATGCAGGAAGGAGGACCTGACAAGGACAGCTGTCTAGTCATTTGGGTTGGAGGAAAAACCAAGGTCCCATGTACACATTGGCATGCACGTAATAGATCCCTGGGCAGTTGGAATTTGATATATGATGTCCAGGCAAAATTTCCCTCAATTCATTTTAATTGGTTGTAAATTCAATCGAGTTGATTTATATAGTGCCATTGACCACACAAGTTTCTTCAGTTACCTTCTTGTGCATGTGAAAATTATTCTTTATCCTGTGGGATAAAACATCAGTTTTATGATGACATTGTAACTTTGCCACCCATTAAAAGGCAAGCTTCCATGATTTAACAAACAGGAGACGAAATTAACAAAATTGTTTTCACATTTATGGTTTTATACACTCATAGTACTTAAATATTCGATCAGAGAAAATGCTTCAGATTGTTAATTATGATATATTATCTAGATATTTAACATGTATTTTGAACTAATCATTATATTTATTTTCTAGGCACTTGCCGGCTCCATTAAAAGATGCTGTAAATACCTTAAAGTGGAAACAGTGTTATACAAAACATGATATTGATTCCTGCCTATCTAAAGTTACTCTTATTGGATTTAATCAAAAAATGGTAAGATATTCTTCCTTAAATTTTTCCTTTAATCCTAGAAAATATTACTCAACCGCTGGTTAGGACATTCCTGATTTGCTGGCATGGGCTAAGAACAATTAGAATTTCTCAAGCCTGTTTCCCACTTGTTAGAACTGACCTGGGAACAGTACACAAATCAAGGTGTACAAATTGTTAGACCCATAATCATGTATTTTTGATCTGCTGTATGATATTTATGTATTTGTTGGAATTCAATATATGAGTAGGCCGTACAGGGGCAGATCCAGGAAATTTTGCAGAAGGGGGTTTGCCAGGTTCCTGACAATATGTATCTTTTTGGGGGTTCCAGTTGTGATTTATTATAGGATATTTATATATTTGTTATATGTGATCTATTATAGGATATTTATATATTTGTTATATGTGATCTATTATAGGATATTTATATATTTGTTATATGTGATCTATTATAGGATATTTATATATTTGTTATATGTGATCTATTATAGGATATTTATGGTTCTGTTGAAGCTACACCAGTTAGTTCAGGTTATAGTCTTGGTAGTAGTAACTGGGTTATCAAGTCTACGCATGAAAAGGTAAACTTATTTTCTATTGTAGAAATTGAGAGACACATTTTCCTCTGCATAAAAATATAATTCTAAAATCTTAACAATGATCTCTTTTATATGATTGACAGATAAAATATAACAGTTTATTTTAAATGTTTGTTTTTAATTAGGTGTGTTATGTATCTGGAACTTCTACTCTAACAACTCATCCTAAAGTAAGTACTTATCCCCTCACTTTATTGTATATCTATTTACGTAGTTAATCTGGACGAATTTGCATATATTGTAGGTTAACACTGGGGTGAAATCTGTAGGATAGTTAAAGGAGGAAATTAAAACAAATCATAGGACAATGAATTATTATATGTTTTATATTACAACCCATGGATCAAGCACCATTAAGGACAATGAATTATTAAATGTTTTATATTATAGTCCATGGGTAAAGCACCATTAAGGACAATGAATTATTATATGTTTTATATTATAGCCCATGGATCAAGCACCATTAAGAAATAGTGATGTATTAATATTAAGTTGTTTAACACAGACACCTTTAGCTAATCCTGATACTATGATTGGAGAATTCTGTGTTAATACAGGTATACAACCTCTTTATACATTTTTGATATATTTTGTTTGAATTAAAGATGTCTCTTTTTGATATTGTCATATTATCGTCTTTGTTGATTCCATAATTCTGAGGGTTTTGTGTCTATTATTTATGAAATGGAGAGAACTAAGCCCAATAATTCACCAAAATGAATCCGGGTGTAGCTGTTTCTGGAAGTATTTTTATGTTTTTTATTACAGCTGTAACGTTAAAGAATGGTGGTAATGTTTTAGTTCCATGTTATCCGTCTGGTGTAACATATGATTTATTTGAATGTTTATCAGCACATTTAGAACAATGTGGTCTAGCTGGTATACCTATGTATTTTCTCTCACCAGTATCAGATAGTGCTCTAGCTTATTCTAATATATTTGCTGAATGGTATGTACATCTTTTCTATACTTAATATATTCAGTATTTGATTAAAAAATGGGCTTACATCAACAATAAACACATTGAAATATTAAAGACTTTATTACATGTAATGAATTATGTTATAAAAGTATAATAAATAATTTTAGGTTGTCACAGAGTAAACAATCAAAAGTGTATCTACCAGAATGTCCATTCCCTCATGCCGAGGTGAGATATATTTATGTGATGCTTTCTTTATAATATTAATAGATTCCTTTTATGATTTATTGGAAATTGTTTTGAAATGTACACAGAAATACAGAGAATGTGCACTCTGGAAGATGGAAGGTTACAGTAATGAAAATTTGAGTAAATCATTCAATATAACTATATCTGTATAATTTCAGCTTCAAAGTCAAGGAAGATTAAAAAACTTTAAAAGTCTTCACGGTATGTTTCAGTTAATATCAGAATCCAGTATTTATATATTCTACGTTATAATAATAAACAGTGAATTATTGAATTGTCTTCGACACTTCGTTTTAGTTTTAATAAGGTTCGGATAATGACTGTAGTGAAATATATGATTGTGTTACGTCAGCATATATATGAAAATCAAGTTTATTTTTCCGCAAAATTTCACCAATTGGAGTTATATAAGCCTTAAAGGGACATTAACACTCTTGCTAGCTTGACAGCTCCAGAAAATAAAAAAATAGCCTTTTTCTAAGTACTAGATGTGTTAGTGTCCTACCTGTTGTGTAAATTATCCATTAAATCCTATTTTACTTGTCCAGAGGGTTCAAAAATATTTTTAAATCCAAGACACATTTGAAAAGCTTTACGTCAGGCTTTTCAAATCATTTAGTTGAATTTTTCTAATTTTTTAAATTAGGTGTGTTAAGATCAAATTTGTATCATCAATTAATTGGAATATTGTAAAATAGTACAATTTGTTGACCAGAATAAAGATTGGGATATACTATTCAGTTACAACAAGAGTGGTATTGAGCCTTTAACAAAAGAGGACCTAATACGGATCCTTGTGGTACCCCGAACTTTAGAGCGGGGAATCCAAAGCACAGTTATGAATAAATACTTTCTGTATATATGATCAATGAAAATCTTATTTTTTAACAGATCTGACAGATCAATTTATATCACAGATATAACCTGGCATTGTTTTATTTATAGATATGACCTGGTAATCAATAACTGTGTTCTATTTATAGATATGAATTTAGAAGTTAAAACACCTTGTGTTGTGTTTGCTGGTCATCCATCCTTAAGAATGGGAGATGTCGTCCATTTTGTAGAACTGTGGGGAAAACATTCTGCTAATACTATAATATTTACTGGTAAGCTCCAACTTTTAAATGTCATTTTAACAACAAACATCAAAAAATCGTGTTCTCTATAAAATCTTTATTTTTATCCTGTTTTATGTATATCATTTCAATCTCTATTCTCGTAGCCTTGTGGTACATAATTAAAGTTCCTACCATGCTACATGATGTTAGATGTTTATGCCACATTCTTGGTTGCAAATACTATTTCAAACAATGATCTTTTATTTCCTGTTATTTTTGTCCCCCGCCTTTCGAAGAAAGCAGGGGACTATTAAAATGGGTTCGTCCGTCTGTCTGTCCGTCTGTCTGTCCGTCACACTTTTTGGGACACAATAACTCTCTTCCTAATTGAGCTAGAATGTTCAAACTTGGTGTATGTGTTTATTAGGTCAATGCCTTGATGGAGTTCGAAGATGAGCATTTTCCGCTTAGGGTAAGCAGAGATAAGCAATTTGATTGGTTGATGCTTTGGGACACGATAACTCTCTTCCTAATTGGGCTAGAATGTTCAAACTTGGTGTATGTGTTGATTAGGTCAATGCCTTGATGGAGTTCGAAGATGAGCATTTTCCGCTTAGGGTAAGCAGAGATAAGCAATTTGATTGGTTGATGCTTTGGGACACGATAACTTTTAATTGAGCTAGAATGTTCAAACTTGGTGTATGTGTTTATTAGGTCAATGCCTTGATGGAGTTCGAAGATGAGTATTTTCCGCTTAGGGTAAGCAGAGATAAGCAATTTGATTGGTTGATACTTTGGGGCACGATAACTCTCTTCCTAATTGAGCTAGAATGTTCAAACTTGGTGTATGTGTTGATTAGGTCAATGCCTTGATGGAGTTCGAAGATGAGCATTTTCCGCTTAGGGTAAGCAGAGATAAGCAATTTGATTGGTTGATGCTTTGGGACACGATAACTTTAGTTCTAATTAAGTGAGATTGATGAAACTTGGTGTATAGTTTCATTACAGTAATACCTTGACTAAGTTTGATAATTGAGCATTTTCTGCTCAGGGTAAGCAGAGCGATACGCAATTTGATTGGTCGAGACTTTGGAAAACAATACAATGCCATGATGGAGTTCGAAGATGAGCATTTTCCGCTTAGGGTAAGCAGAGATAAGCAATTTGATTGGTTGATGCTTTGGGACACGATAACTTTTAATTGAGCTAGAATGTTCAAACTTGGTGTATGTGTTTATTAGGTCAATGCCTTAATGGAGTTCGAAGATGAGCATTTTCCGCTTTGGGTAAGCAGAGATAAGCAATTTGATTGGTTGATACTTTGGGGCACGATAACTCTCTTCCTAATTGAGCTAGAATGTTCAAACTTGTTTTTATTAACACAGTGTTATTTCTAATACAGTGCACACACGAAAATGCGTGGTCTGTTTTCACAATCACCGGGTTAGTATGTTGGAGTGTTCATTTATATGAACACCTACTTTTCCTCAAATGATCACTTGTGCACGTTCTAAAACAACACATTACAGGTTGATCAGTAACTTGAACGCCCGAGTCAGAACAAAGGGTCCAGTGTGTAATCAGTTTGATTGCTCGATACTTTTGAAAAAAATAGATGTGTGATTAATTAATATGTGTCATCTATTTATTTGGGGATTTCGGCGGGGGACATCAGCCTCACTGTTGGCTTGTTTTTTTATTGTTCTATTATATTTTATAAAACCATGCCTCGACTAGGTTTTCTTCAAAAATGAATCTACTTTAGGAAATATGGATAAAATATCATCTTCAGTAAACAAGTGACCATTTGCCAATACACTAGTTTACTCTTCTTCCTAAAATGGTTCATGTATTAGATGTCAGATATTCTGTATAGATATGTTATTTTTCTTGTAGAGCCAGATTTTCCATACTTAGAAGCACTTGGACCTTTTCAGCCTGTTGCCATGAGAGTAAGTTATAGTTAAACTGTAGATAACCAACAGTCAACTAAATCAATATAAAAATGAAAATATTTTACAGAGCATGTATTTATAGATGTTCTAAGTATAAAAAAATATGTGATTTTTATGACTTACCTTTTAACTTGGTCTTTGAAATAACAATTTGTTTATGTATGCAACTAACACTGCAAGTTTCAGCATTAAACTGTTTAGAAATGATTCCAAACAAGTTTATAGGAGATAAGAGTGCTTGAATACTTTCTAATAAAAAATATTTGAAGAATTTGTAGTGGAAATTGAAATCAGAGTAGGCTGTAGCGTTGATGTTGGGAAAAATTGCCTTCCTAGTTAATTAACTTCAGAGACTGTATGATTTTAACAGAATACATCAATACAAATAATTAATAATACATACCAAGGGTTAATCAAAGGCAAAGAGTCAAAGGTAAAATTACATTATCAGATGAGGACTTAATATATGACTATATAATAGAACCACCAATATCCCAATAGTGAATTAATCTTTTAACAAGCCAACAGTGAGGCTGATGTCCCTCGCCGAAATCCCAAAATAAATAGATGACACACATGATTTAATCGCACATTTTTTTTTTTTCAAAAGTATCAAGCAATCAAACTATACACTAAGTTTCATCACTCTCTATTAGGTAGAATCCAGATTATCTTGTCCCATAGCATCAACCAATGAAATTGATTAGCTATTTTTAGCTTTAGTTCGAAATGTTAATCATTGAACTCAGTCAAGACATTCACCCAATGAACATCTACATCAAGTTTTAACATTCAACCTCAATTAAAACCAGAGTTGTTATGTTCCTAAGTCTTGACCAATTAATTTGCTTATTGCTCCTTAGCATAAGCAGAAAATTTCGCACAATCGAACTCAATCAAGGTAATGATATAATGAATCTATATTCGGAGTTTCATCGCTCTCACTTCATTATAACCAAAGTTATCGTGCCCCAAAGCATCGACCAATCAGATTGCTTATCTCTGTTTGCCGTAAGCAGACAATGTTAATCATTGAACTCCATCAAGGCATTCGCGTAATAAACACCTACACCAAGTGTGAACATTCTAACTCAATTAGAATGAGAGTTATTGTGTTCCAAAGTTTCGGCCAATCAAATTGCTTACCACTCTGCTTACCCTGGGCAGAAAATGCTCATTATCGAACTTAGTCAAGGTATTGATGTAGTGAAACTCTACACCAAGTTTCATCACTCTTAATTAGAACTAAAGTTATCGTGCCCCAAAGCATCAACCAATCAAATTGCTTATCTCTGCTTACCCTAAGCAGAAAATGCTCATCTCCATCAAAGCATTATCATCAACCTAATAAACACCTACCCCAAGTTTGAACATTCTAGCTCAATTAGAAAGAGAGTTGTCTAGGCCAATCAAATTGCTTATCGCTCTGCTTACCCTGAGCAGAAAATGCTCATTATCGAACTTAGTCAAGGTATTGATGTAGTGGAACTATACACCAAGTTTCATCACTCTCACCTAATTAGAACTAAAGTTATCGTGTCCGAAAGCATCAACCAATCAAATTGCTTATCTCTGCTTACCCTTAGCAGAAAATGCTCATCTCCATCAAGGCATTATCATCAACCTAATAAACACCTACCCCAAGTTTGAACATTCTAGCTCAATTAGAAAGAGAGTTATTGTGTCCCAAAAAGTGTGATGGACAGACAGACAGACGAACCCATTTTAATAGTCCCCTACTTTCTTGAAAGACGGGGGACAATACAAAGTATAGAAGAATTGTTTTGTGTTTTGCAGGTATGCTATTGTCCTATAGATACAAGTTTAAACTTTAGTCAAGCCAATAAGTTAATTAAAGATCTTCGCCCATTACATCTGGTTGTAGCAGAGAGTTATACAGTTCCACCTATAATGGCTAGCAGAAGAACAGATCTTGTCATTGATTGGGTAATATCTGTTTTGTTTATATAAATGACATCAAACACATCTCTTCCTAATCTCAATTCAACTTCCTTTCCAAGAATATTAAAGTAGCTAAGCTAAGTCTCTAACTCAATATCATCCGAAGTCTTCGACATTGAAAACACAAATTATTTGTCAATTTAAATCAACATTGATGCTGTGATCTTACCAGGAAAAGATGGGCTTCCAATAACCAATATTTTAGAAAAAATAAACACTATTGCTGTAGACTGGAATAACCAGACACTAGAGATTGCCATTTGATTGAGACTTCTGATTGGAAATTAGAGTAAAAACGGAAACGATTGAATGTAAATCAGTTTATATATATTCATATTACATTATTATATGTACGTGTTGCGACCCATTTGTGTGAATTTCTAGGTACCAAATATTAGCTACTTAGCTCCTTTAAGATATTTTTGTCAACAGAATATATTATATTGTAAATAACATTTAGTAAATGAAATGAAAATTTAATTATGTGAGCTCGAGTTTTGATTTTATTCAAATAGATAGTTAATCCAAGGTTGGGGTTATATTGTTAAGTATTTTGTTATGTTTTTATTGTATAGGAACCATCACCATTTACATATAAACATGGTCAAGTTTTATCTTTACCAGTTAAACGGAAATTTGAAAGTGTTGAGATTGATTCTGAGGTAGGTTGTAATATATAAAACAAGCACTATTGAGAGTATTGCTGGAGCAATACCTTTCCCCCTTATAAGAGACTCATACTGTCAATACATTTCTGTAAATATATAATCCTAATACATATATATGCAATAAATTTTCATTGAATTGGTCTTTAACTCTGTGATATACAGAGTACTACAAACCCTCAATAAAATATATGGACCTCAAAATTAAACCTAAAATGTTTTCCCGAAAATGCAAATGACCTATCTGATTAAGAAATTAATGAAATCCCATAAAACATGGACTTTATTTGTAACTCTCAAATATACAGCAATATACATACCTATGTATACATTTAGATTGAGCTATATTTCTAATTATTTGATTGTAGTTAGCAGCTAAAATGGAACCTGTAGAAGTAAAAGCAGGATCTGCTATAACTATGATAACAGGTTCACTTAATGTAAGAGATAACGTTTATATACTCAAGGTATGTATAATTTTCATTACTTTCAATAAATTAACTTTCAAAATTACAATGCAACTTTGTTTAAGATATGAGAAAATTATCTTGTACAATAACAAGTTATTGCCCATGATGTTGTAAGTTCAAACTCTTATTAAAGGGACTATCCCGATTTGAACAGAGTCTCAAAAATAAAAGTCTGAGTACGTATGAAATATAGAGGAATGGTGTATCTACCTTGTCTCAAACTTTCAGCTCAAAATATTGAGTCGTTTGGACATGAATGTCAAAACTGCTTATCCGGACACGTAACCCTTTTAAGATTTCGGGTCAAATTTTTCGTTAAGTGACCTGATAATCGGTTCCCGTTCCTTTAGAGGTCTATACAATGAATGACCCATGTGCTGTACTTGAGAACGAAAGGTAAATTTCACCGACACATTATTTTTATAAAATAAAAGTCTGGTTTTATCCAGACACCGCATTATACAGGGTGGGACACTGTTTTCCATTTCCAGATGAAGACTGACGGGTTTAAGTTGTTCGAAAACGCATCACATAACTTGAGTTAGTTGCTTGGCCCTAAGGTAGGGGATTTTAACACAAAATTAAGCAGTTTTATTCTCCAAAATATTATCGGGATTGGCCCTTTAAAAATAAAAGAACAAGAATGATATTTTATTAGTTTGTATTTTAAGCTTTGTTTTATGTTTATTCTATCTGCAGCCATTACCAAAAGAAGTAGCATCAGGTCAAAAAAGGTCACATGATGGATTTGAAGTTCACAAGAAGTCCTATATATTTGGTTCTCCTAATATTCAGACATTTGTTGATGTTATGACCCAGGTAACTGAAAAAAAGAAAATCTTTCACATCAAATAACATTTACATTAAGACACACTAAAATCCAGAAATCTGTTGACAATAGGATTATTTTGTACCTAAAGTAAATTGTTTCTGTTGCTTGTCTATAAAAATGGTATCATTTATAATGTTAAATAATTAGTTTAAGTGTTGATTGTTGATATCTAGTATTGTTATTACAGCAAGGTATATCATCAATTAAAGTTGAAGATACTGGTAGTGGTTCTATTATACATCTTGTGAGTAATACATAGTTAATACTTTATACCTAGTATCATAAACATAGTAAAAGCAACATTACAACTATAATTAAAGCCACTGGACTATTTACATAGGGATCAGCATATATGAATGGAATTTCATTTCTTCATACTAAACAGAACTCAACCATTTTTGGACTGATATTCTAGTTTGCAAGGGATCACTATGGCACTCAGATCACTCTCAGAGACTTTAATCCCCCGACCGGTCAGATGCTAATTAATGTATTACATGTATTTATTATTGTAAATAGAAAAATAACAGAGATTACTAATACATGCAACATAATGAGCAATTTTCATTTTGAGTTAGGGGGGGTGGATGGCCGAATGGTTAGCATGTGTGCGCTGTATCATAAGGTCTGTCTCTGAGTCAAATGGCATGGTTTTGATTCCCTGGTTGTATGTCACAAAGAATAGCCTATTCAACCTCATGGGTTTTCTGTGGGTCCTCCTGTTTCCCCCCACTGCTAAGGACCCCTACGCGCAAGCGAATTATTGAAATGAAATTGAACCATGTGTTAGTCCTGAGTTGACATCAAACCCCATTTCTCTCTCTCTCTCTCTCTCTCTCTCTCTCTCATTTTGAGTTGTTCTATATTATAAACAGGGGGTTAGAAATTATATTATAGAAAATATTATGTAAAAATACCTGTGTGATCAAAGGTTGTAATAGAGGTTGTAATGTTCCAACAAAGAAAAATAATCCACTGGACAAAATTCCCATCATACAAAACCTAAGAAAATTGGGTACATGAAGGAGGAACAAAACCTCTATAACAGTAACAATTTAAGTAAAAGATATAGTTATATTTTATAGAGAGTGGTTAAATTTTAATTAAAGAAAACTATAATTACATTAGTTTATTTTTAGGCCATAGAAAAATGAGGAAATAATCCCTTGTATCAAGCACTTATCATTTTTACAGGTTATGTTGTCTTTAAATTACTGTGTATTTTATTTCAGCCAAATGACGAAACATTAATACAAGTAGATGGTGATTCAACACATATTATATGTGAAGGTGATGAATCTATTAGAGTTAAGATACGTGATTCATTAATTAAATGTTTAAAAAGGTTATGATTTATAAAAATATAAATGTATATAGTGTATATTAAATCAGATATGTTAATGCTCTTGTGTTTGTAACTTTATATAGGTTGTGGGGGGACATATCTTCCAAGACATATTTTACTAAACTTGTCATTGGTTGGTTATGGATAATCAATGGGTAAAGAAATTCTGGGTCATGGCAAGATACGGGACATTTAATACCCTTTGCATTGATACAATTTTAATGAAATTCAGTGCAGACATATTTGTTGGGAATTTTTTAGTTTTCTATTTTTCGAATGCCAACCACCGAGAGGGCTTAAAAAAAGTCCAAGTTGCCCACAATGGCAAGAATGGAGGCCCTCAGCAATGCTGTTTTTCTGTTGCATAGCTCAAGGTATGGTAGAACAAAATTTATGCCCAAAGTTCTCACAAAGTTCTTAACGTGGATAAATAATGAAATTCTTTAATTATGACAATAATATCACCACCCCCTTAGAGGATTAGGTGCATGGTATTCAATTCCTTAAACATGGGACTCAGACCCGAATGTTTTTCTCAAATGTCCAAAAATAAAACCGAAAGAAAACGCCGATTTCAGGTGATAAACATTACATTGTGCCCGTAAGGTTCGACGGATGGGGTTCGAAATCCGTTAAATGAGCCCCCTTTTCTCTCTGTGCACGAGTCCTTGTATCCAGCGTCAGTCCGTCAGTCATCAGTGCCGTTTTTCTCTGTTTTGTATGGACCGCATTGGATTCACGTGCTGCTCGCTAAGTGGATGTCAGGATATTCCTTTGCGAGTTTCCAAGGAACGGGTGATTTATCCATTACAGAACTACTGTCTAATTAGGATCTGGATCACAACGAGAATTTTCGCTTAAAAATGCCTTTCACCCTGTGATGAGCACAGAAAAGTTTTACCAGAAATATAGTGTATAATATTTTTATCGTATAAGTTTCATCTATGTATACACTTCTGCCACGCCGAGAATATCAGATGCTATGTCGAACCTGATAGACCTCTAAAGCTCATATACGGTGATGTAATTTTTATGTGGACGAACATTTGTCGACGCCTATAGACGTACTTACCCGTTTGCCCGGAAAATCTGGTTGCCCGAAAGTTAAGGATCAACCCTTGTCCTGCGGCTCGTACTCCTACGTCGTCGCCCCTGTTTGTGGGAACTCTACAGATCACAATTTTTTTTATCCGATTTTGATGAAAAATAAAACAAATTATATGATTATATCTCAAAGATCTCGAACGGGTTCGATTTTGGCGCCTATCAGACCGTACCTTTCTGATTGTACAAAAAATATTGTGGCCCCTCAATAATTGCCTCAATTGTATGTTCATTACAAGGATGAGTTCGAATTTCGTGAAATTCGGACCGAAACTATCCGTTAAAATGGCCCGTTCCCTTTAAGCAAATAGTGGCAAAGCTTGTAATACATACATGTATACCAAGATCGTGGACCCTCTAGAGACCGTAATTTACTCCGGTTTAGACGAAATTTAAAGTATGTGTTAAGGCTCACAAGAACTTGGGCGAGTTCGATTTTGGTGCGCAACAATTGAACATACCCAATCAATAATCACCCTTTTTGCAATGGCATGCCCTCCGATAGTCTTATTTAACCTGAAGAAAATATTTTGGCCATTATTCAGCGACAAATCTATGTCTATTTTTTTATACGTCCACATTTTCATGTGGACGTATATTGTCGTCGCCCCTGTTTGTCCGTCCGTCCGGACGTCCTTCCACAATTTGTTTGTGGACACTCTACAGGTCACAATTTTTATCCGATTTCAACGAAACTTAAAATATAGTTTTATCCCCGTAAGATCTCGGTTCCTTTCGATATTGGCATGTATCGGACCATAACTTCATGGATTATGGCCCCTGATTGTACAATTTTGATCCGATTCTGATGAAACTTGAAATGCATGTTTATAACCCAAAGATCTTGGTTCCTGTCGATATTCGCGCATATCGGATCGTAACTTCCTGAATTATGGCCCCTGATTGTACGAAAAATCGCGTTTTTGGCTTGTAGTCCCGGCAGAGGTCACAATTTTTTATCCAATTTAAAAAACCGTTTTAGTATATCACCGTTACACCGTAATAAAGGTTGAGTTCGAATTTCGTGAAAATCGGACCAAAACTGACCGACAAAATGGCCGCCGCTTGTACGCGAATAGTGTAAAAATATGGTATATCAAGATTGTGAACCCTATAGAGGTCACAATTTTTATCCGATTTTGTTGAAACTTGAAATGTAAGTTTATAACCCAAAGATCTCGGTTTCTGTGGATATTCGCGCATATCAGACCGTAACTTCCTGAATTATGGCCCCTGATTGTAGGGGAAATTACGTTTTTAGATTGTGGACCCTATAGAGGTCATAATTTTTATCTGATTTAAAAAACCGTATTACTGTATCACCGTTACACCCTAAGGATGGCCGAGTTCGAATTCCGTGAAAATCGGTCCAAAACTGACAGACAAAATGGCCGCCCTTCGTTCTCAAATAGCGTAAAAATATGGTATTTCAAGGTTGTGATCACAATTTTAATCCGATTTTGTTGAAACTTGAAGTTTATTACACAAAGATCTCGGTTTCTTTCGATATTTGCACATATCGAATTGTAATTTCCTGAATTATGGCCCTTGATTGTAGGAAAAATTGCGTTTTCTAGCTTGTGGACCCTATAGAGGTCATAATTTTTATCCGATTTAAAAAAACGTTTTAGTGTATCAATAGCGTAAAAATATGGTATATCAAAGTTGTGGACCCTATAGAATTCACAATTTTAATCCGATTTTGTTGAAACTTGACATGTAAGTTTATAACCCAAAGATCTCGGTTCCTTTTGATATTCGCGCATATCGGACCGTAACTTCCTGAATTATGGCCCCTGATTGTACGGAAAATCGCGTTTTTAGCTTGTGGACCCTTTAGAGGTCATAATTTTTATCCGATTTAAACCAGCGGCTGCCAGGCAGGATACACCCACATTTTCGAGAGATGGATAGAAAACAAGCTAAACGGAAGTGATTTTTCCTACAATCAAGGGCCATAATTCAGGAAATTACAATTCGATATGCGCAAATATCGAAAGGAACCAAGATCTTTGAGTTATAAACTTACATTTCAAGTTTCAACAAAATCGGATAAAAATTGTGACCTTGATATACCATATAGAGAATCCGCAAGCTAAAAATGCGATTTTTCCAACGATCAAAGGCCATAATCCAGGAAGTTACGTTCGGATATACGCGATTATCCAAAGGAACCAAGATCTTAGTGTGTAATGGTGATATATTCACATGGTTTTTTTTTAAATTGGATAAAAATCGTGACCTCTACATGGAGGGCAAGCTAAAAACGCGATTTTTCGTACAATCAGGGGCCATAATTCATGAAGTTACGGTCCGATATGCGCGAATATCGAAAGGAATCAAGATCATTGTGTTATAAACTTACATTTCAAGTTTCAACAAAATCGGATAAAAATTGTGACCTCTATAGGGTCCACAACCTTGATATACCATATTTTTACGCTATTTGAGAACGAACGGCGGCCATTTTGTCTGTCAGTTTTGGGCCGATTTTCACGAAATTCGAACTCAACCGTCCTTAGGGACGGACGGACGGACAGCGGCGACGACAATATACGTCCACATGAAAATGTGGGCGTATAAAAACCGTATTATTATATCACCGTTACACCCTAAGGTCGGCTGAGTTCGAATTTCGTGAAAATCGGCCCAAAACTGACAGACAAAATGGCCGCCGTTCGTTCTCAAATAGCGTAAAAATATGGTATATCAAGGTTGTGGACCCTATAGAGGTCACAATTTTTATCCGGTTTTGTTGAAACTTGAAATGTAAGTTTATAACCCAAAGATCTCGGTTCCTTTCGATATTCGCGCATATCGGACAGTAACTTCCTGAATTATGGCCCCTGATTGTACGAAAAATCGCGTTTATAGCTTGTTCTCTATCCATCTCTCGAAAATGTGGGCGTATCCTGCCTGACAGCCGCTGGTCTTTTATCTAAGCCATTGGGAAAGATGAAATTATATGACTTATTATTCTGAAAGGCATGTCTCTACTTCATTGTACGTAAATAGAAACCCATAGTACAATAACCAAAATATTGCCATATTTAATTGCTATCCCATTACAGCTTTTGTTTGAAATCAATAGGCATAATTTGCTAGAAATGTTATTCAGTTTGACCTGTAAAGAAAACCATAGCCTAATAAATTATTCAGTTCTTGTTCATTCATTACATCGTTATTATTGAAATAAAATTAAACCATATGTTAGTCCCGAAATGACTTAGTTTGTGTCGAGTGGACGTGAAACCCCATTTCCCTCTCTCTCCCCTGAATTATGGCCCCTGATTGTATAAAAAATCATGTTTTAGCTTGTCCCTCTAGAGCCGAGGTCACAATTATTATCCGATTTAAAAAAAACCGTTCGAATATATATATATCACTGTTACACCGTAATGTTCATTGAGTTCGAATTTTGTGAAAATCGGGCCAAAACTGCCGGACAAAATTGTCGCCCGCTCGTACGCAAGTAGTGTATAGCATCTGGTATATCATGCTTGTGGAACCTCTAGAGGTCACAATGTTTATCCGGTTTTGATGAGAGTTGAAATACATGTTTATAACCCAAAGATCTTGGTTCCGTTCGATACTCGCGCGTATCGGATCGTAACTTACTGAATTATAGCCCTTGAATGTACAAAAAATCACATTTTTAGCTTGCCCTCCATGTAGAGGTCACGATTTTTATCCAATTTAAAAAAAAACCATGTGAATATATCACCATTACACACTAAGATCTTGGTTCCTTTGGATAATCGCGTATATCCGAACGTAACTTCCTGGATTATGGCCTTTGATCGTTGGAAAAATCGCATTTTTAGCTTGCGGATTCTCTAGATGTCACAATTTTTTTCCGATTTTAAAAACCGTTTAAATATTTCACCATTCCACCATAATGAGGGTTGAATTCGAATTTCGGGAAAATCGAAATGAAACTGCCCGTCAAAATGGCCGCTCTTTATACGCAAATTGTGTAAAAGTATGCAATAAGAAGGCATTCTGAACATCTGAGACACGCTACCTGCGGAGAAGTATCTCAGACACAGTCAATAGCCATGATATCCATATCACGTGATCTACACATCACAGGTCATACGTTACATTGTAAACAATAGGTTTATCTTCAGCATTGTTTCCTTTGCACCCATAAAGACTATATAATTCGTCCAGTCCCAACATGTTCTCTCTTCTTCCAATGATTTTTCACAAAAATAACATCTACAACTCATAGATTTGACGTCGTCTTCAATGACAGCGTCTGCGAATGGTTGTTCATAGAGGCTGCCATCTTGGCACTATTTTGTGCGTCGGTCGTGTCTATTTCAGATATACACAATCAATTCTGTTGATGTTTTTAGCGTTGGGATTGACTAATAGTTAATTTATTTCAGTTCTAAAACAAATATTTTAAACTTTAACGGAAATTTAGAAAATAGTCAAATTCTGGCTGGGATTACTGAGCAAAATGGCCATTCCATAGATATCCTATAAAGACTATAAAGATATAGGATATCTATGGGCCATTCATTCAAAAAAAGCTAGCCACCAATTAATTTTCGTAGGTTAGTTACGTACGATAAGATGACATCCTAGCGGGGGTCGGGGGTGCCCCCCCAGTGGGATTGAGGGGGTACCAGGGGCGGATCTAGGAATTTTGAAAAGGGGGGAGGGGGCGCCGCAAAATGAGGGCACTGACTGCGGAGACGGGACACGCCGCTGAGTGGGGTTTTTTTTGCCCCGCCCCCCCTCCCAAGAAAATTATCCGTCATTTCCTTGCATCTGTAGCCATTCCAAGAGCTATTTGGCTGATATTTTCGTCTTTAGAAGTAAACGTTCGGAAATTGTTGAAAAATGCATTAAAATCAAGCAAAAAAGCCAGTTGAACATGCGACTCGAAAATTGTCAAGGCGAGCGAGGATTATGTTGGGAACAATGCTACATCAAGTTGCACTTATGCGCGTCGGTGATGGCATGAGTGTATATGCCGCCGATTCCACAAGATGCTATCATTGATATTTGTCTATAGTCACTCTATACGATTAGGGCACCGTCAGCTAAACAACAAGAACTCGTTTGAAAGTGGGAGCATTAATTAGACCAGACTGGTGTGTTTGAGTCATTTGGGATCCCTGCAACGGGTTGGGAACGGACATATTTGGGTCTGAGAAAAGACACTTTCAAAAAAGGGCACTGGATCCGCCTCTGAACACTCCCCTAGGAAATTTTGAAATTTCGACCTGAAATGGTCTGTGGGGTGTCTGTGGAGTATATCCCGGGCGGGAAGTTAAATATACATGTACTTAGTTCTAAGCTGTTCGTGTCGATCTAGATTAGGAATCTGAATGTAGTTGTTGCAGATGTACTTCGGAATAGTGCAGAATTTGTTTCGTCAGGAATACACTCGGAGAATTGATTCAAGATTTTATTCTCTAACGGTTCGCGGTTTGCGATTCTTGTTGTCAAGCGGGCTGCTTGAGTGAGTATATTGGGCGACGGAAATTTTGGACAATTAACAAGACCGCCCCGTCAACCAGAAATAATATTTCGGGTTTCGGGTTATGGAATCATTACTGATAACAACTTCCCACTTAAAACCCACCCAACATGAAATCGTTGATATCATTTTTTTCTGACCGAAAAAAGGCCACTTTATTCTCGATTTTTTGGAAATGGCCCGGGTCTTCATTATTTTTTCTACAAATTATAAAAAAAAGAGGCATTTGCCTCCGTTGCCCAAACCATAATCCGTGACAGATTCTAGAGCTATAGCCCCTGCTTTTCACGCAAAATTTGAAATATGTATAGGCTAGATTTTGTAGGACCTCCGGAGTGGCTACCATTGTTGTACCATTCTGACGAAACTTAACAAATATGTTAAGGATCAAAAGATTTTGAATGCGAGGATGAGTCCTATTGATTTTATCTCTTTGCCATCCATTTCTTGCAAAATGTGAATGTATCTTATATGGCAACCGCTTGTTTTAACTGGTCATAACTGATAAGCAGCAGTGAATTATTTGATAGATAAAGGACACAAAGAAAGAGTAGGACTATAAATTAAACTCTGTTCTGTCGTTTTTCTAATTATCTAATCTGTAATGTAACGGACGTGAGATGGACTTGAAATAAAGATCGACAGTTCAGTTATCTAATCGCGACTCTCGCAAGCGTGGGGCTCTTACCCCCCCCCCCCCCGGTTTTGATTAAACCCCAATTTATTTCACTTATCAGAAAGTGTGACAGAGAGGCGGGCTAGCCTTTTTTTAAAAGTCCCCTGTTTTCTTCGGAAGGCGGTATACCAAAAAATAAAGTTCCACTCGAAAACTCTTTTTTTTTAAACTCATCGCCTACCAGTAGTACTACTAGTTGATTTTCATCTGAATTGATTTTTTGGTAAGTTCCGTCGCACCAAATGGCACACGTGTATTATATCATGATAAAAGAATGATCACTTTTTTTTAATTGTTACCTCAGGTCGGTCATTTACCGTTGCGGTATCAAAGATCAAAAATATAAATCTCATATCCGCATCTTCTGTTGTACTAGGCTACGTGATTATTTAATCGACCCACGCGCGAGATGTCAAATCGGCCCTTTGAATACAGCGATTGGTCTAGAATTATGATGCGAGTTGTGGAAGAGGTTCATAGTTGAAGGTGAAGGACAGCAAATAAACCGGTATTTGAGCCGGCCGGTTTTTATCATTTGTTAGCATTTATTCACTTTTATTTTCCCATTGACTTTTAAATTAATACATGGACAGTCGACATCTCGTCACTGACAGTCTTTCTTGTCTTTAGTAAATGAATGAAATTTTGGCAAAATGTGTCAAGAAGAAAAACGAAAAGATAAATTAGCTGAATATTCTTGGGAAGAAATTCGGCAGCATGCGACAAAGACAGACCGGTGGCTGGTTATTGAAGGTATTGTATATGATGTCAGTATTTGGGCCAAGAAGCATCCAGGCGGTGAAAGAATCATCGGAAACCACGCAGGCGAAGATGCTACGGTAATATATTTAAAATCGTAATAATTTATTGTAAAGAAAACATAATTGGGCAATTTTTATTTCAAAATATTTAACCATTTATATGACAATTAATGTAGTTAGTAAATTAAATACTCACGTACACTACATTTTAAATATTTGAATGGAAATATTTAATTATAAATGTTTAAGTGAAATATTTAGATATTTGAATTGAATTATTTTAATATCTCAATTCAAATATTTATATATTTCAATTCAAATAGTTTTTCAAAGCTATTTTATATTGTTTTGTATTTTCTAGTACTATCGTCATTTATTCAATGTAATTTTTTCAACATCCAATATGAATAATATTAATATTATGTGAGATTATGAAGGCTACTTACTTAAGCTAGTCACAAATGAAAAGATGTGTTTTGCAGCGCTCTGCTTTTTTTGTTATTTGTGTCTCACAGAGAATAGATTTTTTTGTTATATGCAGAATATTAACCTTTTTGTTTTTCTTGTTACATAAAACAACGAAAACTGTTATTGACGTAGTCAATAATTTGCTGACAGTTTGATTTTTTGTTGAAATACATGGCACACATGATCATCATCATGGATGAAAAAATGGCAAAAGCTCCTGCTACTTAAAGGAGCCATGGCTCTAAAATTCATTATTTTTTGTAATATTCGAAATTAAAAACACAAATTAAAATTCAATATTGGTCCATTTCAATCCATTGATGTTGTTCTGTTGCCGTGAAAATGTGGTATCATGATATCAAATATTTAAGACACAATGAATGTTTTGAAATATGGTACAAGAGTTGTGTACCAAATCGTTTCAGGCTCAAAATCAATAAACAAAGAAAAACATATCCTAAATTATAAAGTGGCAGTAAATAGTAATGGCCGATTCACAAATGATAAAATAATAATAAAAAAAAATGTTTAGAACGGACGAAGCAGGCTTAAAGGACTGTCATTCAGTTTGGACTGTTCACGTATTTCACCGAACATAACTGATTAGAAATTACATTTTTTTTTTTTTTTTAAATTGAGTATAAATCACTTTATATACACTGATATTAACTTTTAGATCCATTTATGGCACCAAAAAATAGTCATATGCCCTTTAAAGCAGGTCCTAAAGGCAAATTTACAGGAAACCATGTAGCTATAGTGGTGAAAGAAAAATCCAAAATCCTACAAAATTTGTATAGATTATATCACCTAGAAATCTGCAAAAGCACCCAAAATTATCTAAAACTAAATAATCTCACTATTACCAGTATGATAAACTATGACTTCAATTAGTAAAATTAAAATCTGATCGAATCACTAAATGCTTACTTTTAATAGATATTTTCTAGATGTTTAATAAATTTAGTTTGATCTAGAAAATATCTATTAAAAGTAAGCATTTAGTGATTCGATCAGATTCACAATCAAAAAATATATTTACATTTATATTTTATCCCAATTTTTAAAAAATATATCTTTCATGTTCTATTAAAGAGTCCCATACCGTTATATTTTGAGTGCCAGTCCACCATACCAGTAGGCTTATACCATCATCCAAAAGTTTGCCTGTCAAGTTATACAGAATAATTAGGGATTTTGACTAGACTGTCAGTATACAAGTTGATTAGAAATGGAGAGAGGAGAGACAGACACACACACACACAAACTAGGTCATTTCAGGACTAACATGGTTTAATTTTATTTCAATAATGTACTTTGGTGTAGGGTCTGTGAAAAAGTCGAAGAACTGAGAGAAAATCCACAAAGTCGGTCAGGCGACCCTACTCCTTGTCGCCTACATACATGGAATCAAAACCACACCACTTGACTCTCAATGAGAGACCTTATGGTCTATAGCGAATGCCTAAGACCATTCGCCCACCTCTGCTTGTCTTTAGGAGGAAAGAAGAGAACATGGAGAACACCAATAATACACTTATTGTTGACAGACATTAATGTGATATAAAGCTTTTATTAAATTAAACAGTCGATTATAAATATTTTATTCAGGTGTTTCATGATTGTACATCTAAAAAAACTAAACATTTTATCATGGTTTGCATTCCAGAATTCAGTTGCATAAAATTAGAAAAACAGTTAACTAGTTTATTGTAGCTAGGTCAAAATATATTAATTCTTATATTTCCTATATGGGATCTAAATTCAAATTTAGAATATAAAAGGTACACAAAGAATTTATTCACTCTATGAACATAAGAAATGAAAAGGGGTGTTTGGTGTTTTAGAGAGAGAGAGAGAGAGACAAAGAGACAGAGAGTCCACTCGACACAAACTTGGTCATTTTGGGAATAACACATGGTTCAGTTTTATTTCAATAATTCACTTGCGTGTAGGTGTCTTAAGCAGTGGAAGGTAACCGTAAAACAGGGGGAATCGAAACTATGCCAGTTGACTCAATGACATACCTTATGATACAGCGTGCATGTGTTAACCATTCAACTATCCAACCACCCTGTTTGGTGTTTTAAAAAGCATATGCTGCCTCTTATATAACACCCATCAGTCCATCATTAATTATAGTTAGAAATTAGAATCTTGGATTTAAAGGATAATTTGCATTTTGCAATATTTGCATTACTAAATGTGCAAATAAGATCTTCAGTTTTTTCATATAAATTGAATTGTAACCTGTACCTTTCACAGATGCACGGACCAAAAACCCTTATTTTTGGACACAAATCAAAGAGGTCTAGCCAGTTTGTAAAATTTAATGGATTGTAGTCTGTGATTTAACATTCCGTTGTCAGTTCTAATTACCCGATGTCCACAGGGGTTTAACATATATAAACATCTCTTACATTATTTATAAATCTAGAGGAGTGTTGATCATGTTTATCAACAGTTTACTCTCAAAATAGATCTTTGTAAACAACAGCTCATTGATAAACATGATACAATTGTACTAAACATTTACACGTAGGCCTAATAATAGCCTTCTATCAGTCTTTTCAGATAAGATATTTGTTTGTTTGATTTTGAATTAATGATTAATTCTTATTTCTGGACACGTAAAGATACACTGTGTAAGAGCTAAATCTGGATATTGCACTTGCAAGTCTTTTATATTTTGGCTTCAAACCTTATAATTTTATATCAACTATTATTTAGACATTTATTCACATAGCGTAATTTGAATGAAATTTTAAATATACTGTATTCCTTTCAATATCTATATTTGAACTATTATAGCAAGAAAAGGACAGCTCTTTATCTAAATCTTACATAATGTATCTTTTAAGCAACATTGTCCTTTGTCAGTTGAATAGAATGAATACATGAAATTTAAATCATGTATCAACATATACCTAATGAATGAATATGTGAAGAACTAAGGAAGAGATGAATAAGTACTGGTAAATACAGATGATGAAATCATTATATGCAATGTGAATATTTGTACTTGAACTGTTGTAAATATATGATATCAAAGTTAAAGGCTCAATACCACTCTTGCTGTAACTGAATAATATGTTCCAATCTTTATTCTGGTCAACAAATTGTACTATTTTAGAATATTTCAATTAATTGATGATACAAATTTCATCTTAACATAATGGTTTGAAACGTCTAACGTAAACCTTTTCAAATGAAACTTCGATTTAAAAATATTTTCGAACTCTCTGGACAAGTAAAATAGGATGTAATGGATAATTTACACAACAGGTAGGACACTTAAACATCTAGTACTTAGATAGAGATATTATTTATTTTCTGGAGCTTTCAAGCCAGCAAGAGTGTTATTGTCCCTTTAAACAATTTTATAAATGGCATTCAATAAGCAAGGTTATTGTTACTTGACATATAAAAGATAAGATAAAGTGATATTTCAACTATTAATAGTTTTAAAAGATGTTAAACATGGAATTGTATGTGATAAACAGTTACAACAGACTATTTTCTTATAACCCTTCTAAAGTCAAAATTAAAATAACGGAGATATTGTCCTGTTGGTTATTGAAATGAACCGTAAGGCCAAAGACATTTCTTAATCAGTCCCCTTTAAAATTATTCATCAACACTGGGGCAATATTGCAAACAGATTGTTTCATTAATTTTTTTTTTTTCTTATCTGATATTGTGTCTGGTCTGGGTATGTGTGGTAATTGTACTGTTTTTATTCTGTACCTGTCCTTCTTGTCAGCTGTCTAGTAGTTTTGATGGGACAAAAATCTTAGGTCCTGTGTATACATTGGATGCACATTAAAGATCCCTTGGCATAAGGAATTCAATATAAGAGTAGACCGTAGCGCCGCTGTCCAGGTAAAATTTCCCTCATAGCACACTGTATGGTGAACGGCCATCTTCATTAGCCCAGTCAGAACATAACAGTAGGATGTTAAACCCCATTTCATTTCATATTATTTCATGTCCTTCTTGTGCAGTTATTCAACATGGTCAATTACACAATTGAAATCTATTCAGACAAGGTGTTGTAAGGTAAAATGTCGCTCAGTAATAAACAGTAGAGCCAAATTGTATTTCATAGAATTGTATCCTGACATCCTGTGCATATCACAAATTCGTGATTGTTCTTCATATTGCTGCTCGGAAGAAGAGAAAAGGGAAATACAGATAATAATGTCAATGTTAATTTTTTTTTTTTCAGGATGCTTGGACAGCCTTTCACGCTGATAAGAAAATGGTGATGAAGTATTTGAGACCATTGATGGTTGGTCGTCTACGACCCGAAGATGATTATGAGGCAGGTGTAATTATATCGTTATATTTGAGACAATGAGTACCAGTAATGGAGGGAGGGCTGTTTATCTTTATTATAGTTTTTGAATACATTTGTTGGTATTTCATTTAATTTCAGACAGATTTACAGAAAGATTTCCGTAGTTTACGAAGACAAGTAGAGGAAATGGACATGTTTAAACCCAGCAAATTATTTTTTGCCCTGACATTAGGACAGTTGGTGGTGTTCGAGATGCTTGCTGTAGCTATATTTTGGTATTTTGGAACTGGTATAATACCATATCTACTCGCATCCGTATTTCTAGTCACAGCTCAGGTGAGTTCCAAGTTTATATTGTTTTAAATTATTAATATCATAATGAAATCTGGAAAACAAATAGTGAAGATGAGGATAATTGGATAATTACAAAGTAAGATAATAGCACATTAGCATTAGCAGGCCCTTAGCTAGCAGGTTGGGGTGGCAAGGGGGGGCCGAACCACGCCCTTTCCATTGGACGCAATATGAATCCAACAACTAACGTGCCCAGATCAGTATGGGCGTCACCATAAAGCTGAGTGACATTGATTTGGCCGCCCCCTCCCCCCCTGCTAGCTACGGGCCTGATTAGACAATAGGGACATTTCAAGGAAAGTACTTTTTATAAGCCCACATCTGATCTATTTAAAATCTATATATATCTATATATGTTAGAGATTTCAACAATTTCTGATAATAACCCCAAACGTTATTGCCCTTGACAAACAACTTGTAGCTTCATGAAATAAACATAATCCCTTTAACAGCTGAACCCAGTGCTCTAGAATGTTGTGGTTCAGTGCATTAGTCATTACCTGACAAATCATGATGTTCGGGGTTCAATCCCGGTGTTGATGGAGGAAGTTCCCTGGGATTTTCCAGCATGGTTTCCCTTGTCTGTAATGAAGGACTGAGGGCCTGGCAAGTGTCCACTCATTTGGATGGGATGGAAAACTGTAAAAGAATTCAACTGCTATCAGAACAAAATGTTAAAACCCCATTTCATTCATTCATTCTATATTTGTTAAAAATGTAAAATGAATTCTGTTTCTTTCTATTTTGTAGGCTCAAGCAGGATGGTCACAACATGATTTTGGTCATCTTTCTGTATTTAAATCTTCTAAATGGAATCATCGTATACATATATTTATCTTAAATGTCTTCAAGGTGAATTATGGCCCTTTGTTGACTTAAATTTTTTAAATGTGAGCTGTTTTATAACTTTATTGTGACCAGAAATTGCTTCTTTCGGTGATATTTATGTTAGATCTAAACTTTTGGATATTTCCTGTTTGATATTGTTAATATTCACTGGTATTATTAGAATAGAAGAAATTATAACTTCATAGGTTTAAGAAATTATAATACTAATGTCTATGCCAGCATGTGTACAAATACTGTATAGTTTTCCCCTGTATTTGTAAACTGTAAAATGAAACGAGGTTTATCTCGTAAAAACTATATCTATTTCACTTGCTATACAAAAATGTCCATATAGCAAGCATTAAATCACTTAATTTGGGTATCTGTATTAGATCAAATTTGCACGATTTTTGTTTTGCCGTTAATCCTACCGAAAATGATAAGTTTTCCTATGGGCTCAGTATTTTATTTGTCACTAGTTAGCAAGACTCATTTTTTGAATTAAATCTTTTCAGGGGGCATCATCATCATGGTGGAATTATCGTCATTTTCAACATCATGCCAAACCTAATATTATCAGAAAGGATCCAGATATTAGATTGGACTATCTGTTTATGGTAGGCAAGACTTTACCAATCGAGGTAAATAATATTATTATAATCCAAACAACACAGTTATTGTATTCAAATATACAACCATCATTTCAACATCAAAATGAGTTCAAGTATCAAGAGATATTAAAAATGTTAAATTTGCCTTCTTATGATGGTGGGGTGGGGTGGGGTGGGTGGCTGAGTCACAGCATGGGTTTCCTTAGGGTTCTTGGGTTTCATCCCATTGCTATGGGCCTAGTTTAAATCTGACTGAATCCAAGCCAGGATATTATATAGCGTTGGTATTTTTATTTTGTTTTCTTAATTAAATATTGAATCATAAATCTGAGTACATATTAATGTGGATTAGGTATTTGACATTTTAGCTACAAATGCTAATGGTGTATCGGGACTTTCATCCATAGAAAGTAATTTATGGACATGAGTGTCACTGTGCAAAATTCTCTGAAGTTTGCTTGGTAGTTTTAGATAGATATATGGTGGTATGAAAATGTATGAATTTATTACACTTGAAAATATTAGTTGATAGGATACCATTTAATTTGATGTTTTTATAATAATATTAATCCTATTTTATTATGTTTTTTTTCAGTGGGGCAAGAAGAAGAAAGGATTTATGCCTTACAATAAACAACAAACTTATTTCTATTTTGGTAAGTAATTAAAAAACCATTGTAAATAGATTGGATCTGATCTTAGAACATTGTAGAATTCAGTTATTTGTTTATTTGAGCTCAGATTAGTTAGAATTTAGATCGAATATAATAGTAAAGAGAATGAAGGGTGTATAATCCAAACTTTGAAACACAAAACCCAGAAAAATATTTGGTACCAGGTATTTGTCATGAACTTTAAATGAAATGAAATACCAACGAATGTGTGTGATTCCTGTTGAACGATCTTGTTACATCGACACCGTGTACATAAACTTGGGCACTCTTTATTATTTAAGATAACTCTTTTTACATAGTTTCTATACACCACATAGGTCTAGAAGTATCAAAGTGCTAAAATGTTGGAATATGAATAACATATTGAGGTGGCTATGACAATAATACCAGTATAGAATTGTGGGGTCCTAGCCCAATAATTATGTGGCACCTCTATAGTAGAGAAAACACCCACTACACAAGACTCAATTATGAAACAGTTTGCCTAGAAATTTCGCAGCACGAGAATCCATCATGAATAGAGAGTTTACAATAAGTCATAGAATGATATTTCGATTAATTGTTCTTTATTAATAGAACTTTTCTCAGGATAAAATGGAATTTCTGTTAATCTATTATTGATTTATTGGCCAGATGTGAGTTTTGTAAATTACCCTGATTCTTGTTTAATAATATTTATATATATTTTTCAGTTCTACCACCTTTGTTGTTACCAATCTACTTCAACTTCGAAATTCCATATTTTCTCATGAAAACAAAAAACTATTGGGTAGGTAGAATCAATTTTACGGTTTCTAATTATTTTTAAATTTATTTAATGACATAAAATTATTGTAGGTTTTCATTTTCTTTTGTGTTGCTTTCAGGAAATATTTTGGATGTATTCATTTTTTGCTCGATATCTACTGATGTTCTATCCATTTGTTGGTTTTTGGGGAACTTTTATATTGTACTTCTTTGTCAGGTTAGTGTAGACAATACAGTCCAATATAACATAGAATAAATAGTACAAGACACAAACACGGGTCTCTTAGTGACATATCACAATACAGTCCAATATAACATAGAATAAATAGCACAAGACACAAACACGGGTCTCTTAGTGACATATCACAATACAGTCCAATATAACATAGAATAAATAGCACAAGACACAAACACGGGTCTCTTAGTGACATATCACAATATAACATAGAATAAATAGTACAAGAATATAACATAAACATATTAATCTGAATATAAAACAGCTACATGAACCTACCAATGAGACATCATCTTAGATGAGCCTAGCAACAGATGTTAAACAGTGTGCAGGAAAGAGTTAGGCCTTGTTTTCCATATACGCATTTCCCCCAGCGAAAAAAGTTGGTCTAATGAAAATGTAATGTGTACGCAACAGGATGTTTACATTGTTTGTTTGTTGCGTTGTACAACTAAGTATATCAACCGCTCTTGTTGATGCTAATGCAGCTTGCAAATAGCAGATTTTTTGGACATGGTGTTATTATAAAAAGGTGGTGACTCAACAAAACAATGTCGGACTCCATGCTGTAAAGAGAAATTCTCACTTATGATGTCATTTCTGTGGGATTCCCCAAATGTTTTAGCGATTTTTGTGTACACATCTAAATACAAAATCATGCACGGAACCAAACGTGTACAAAGCGTGCCTAAGAATGTGAGGCTATACCATGTATTGACAGTTTCCACGAACATCAATAGTTATAAGATTTTCTGTATGTGTTTTTTAATATTATCTTTATAGTAATATCTTTTATCTTTCAGATTTTTGGAAAGCCATTGGTTTGTCTGGACAACACAGATGAACCATATACCAATGGAGGTTGATAAAGAGAAAGGACGAGACTGGGTAACCATGCAACTTGCTGCTACATGTAATGTTGATCCATCATTCTTTAATGATTGGTTCAGTGGACATCTTAATTATCAAATAGAGCATCAGTAGGTTGAGCTAAAGTTTCTCAACGCTAATAAGCAAATATCAGTGATGATTTTGTTTCAGTAAGGGGGTGTGGGGGGCTTTGTGTTGTGAATTGTAGATCCATCAATAATAATAAACAATCTAGTAAGACTTCGAACAGTGATATCTTCGCTCAAAATAAAGTAATTTGAATGAAATTTTCAATATATTCATTTTGAACTAATATAGCAAGAACAGCCAGCTCTTTATCTAAATCTTACATAATGTAATGTATGGTAATGTAACACATTTAATTTCAAACTATAAATATAATGTAATTTCAACTTACAATTATTCAAAGTTGCTATTGATATTTCACCATTTATTTTCAGTTTATTTCCTTCTATGCCACGCCACAATCTTGCTAAGGTGATGCCACTGTGTAAATCATTATGTAAAAAACATGGTATAGAATATACCAGTAAACCATTGTTAACAGCATTTAAAGATATAGTTGGGTATGTAGTAAAGTATATTGACAAGGGAGATAATATGCTAGCATGTAATCAATCGGTTTCATATAATTTTCAATATTTTTGGACCAGGAACTCTGCTCCATATGCTGCTCATCTTGTTGGGGGCGACGCTCTTTGAAAAAAGCCTAAGACTCCCACATTCAACATGGAATGCTTGTTCCTGGGATAATAGGGTATATGTTGACAGTCTTTGATTTTTGATATGGTGTCACAATTTCAATTAAAACTGTAACCTGTGTCCTTACAGCTGGATTGTCAAAAGACAATGGTTAATATGACTACTTTCTTGTATTTATTTTCTGACTGTATATTTATTGACTGACTGTATATTTATATTGACTGTATATTTATATTGACTGTATTATAATATTGACTGTATTTTATATTTCCAGTTCATTAAAGGAATCTGGTGAATTATGGTTTGAAGCTTACAACATGTAATCAAGATACAGATTTCTACTCCCTATTCATTTCATAGTATTTCAATTTAATTTATGGTCACAGACAAGTAATTACTTCTTTATGTTGGTACCCTCGATTTGTAGTTCCTCTATATTACTAATTCTGTCTTTCTCCCTTTTCCCCTGTTTTTCATGGGAATTTTTGTTGACTTTTGGGGACAACTAAAATCAAAGTAGAGTGTTTGAATTTCCATTTTCTGACAGATTTTGGTGAATATTCACGACTTTGGGGAGGAAAGATCAGGCATATGAATTAGAGTGATACCACTGCCTGTAGATTGCTTTGACCAGTCTTAGCGAAAATCGAAATGGTCAGCCCCTTTCAATATTTTTATCAGATGATCGTGACATATTGAACTGGACAAAGAATTACTAGGCTGAATCCTGCGGGTTAACAGACAAAACAAGAGTTACGCCCCTTTATACCACACTCACTGATAAATGAACAGGATATCTTTTACAAGATCAATGAGCTGCCGTTCTGGAGATTTTAAATCTAGATCAACCTGTTATGTTATGTTATGTCAAAAATATCCCCCCCCCCCCGGTGAAAAGTGCTAACATATCTGAACAGTGTCATTAATTTATAAAGTGTGTCTGGATATAAGCATGTCTATAAGACACACAATGTTTGAAGTGATGTATTTCAAGTTTAATTTTGTATTCTCTTTATCTAGACCATATGAAATAACAAAATCTTCTGGTCATAGGTCAAAGTTGTTAGTGGTGTTTTTCATTTTTTGTTATATTATTAATCAGAATAAGCTATTTCCTGAAAATTATAGACTGGAAAAATGGGGAAAAGCTTTGTATGATCTAGTCTACAAGAAAATATATTTAGAACATGTGTTGTTGTTTTTTTTTTTAGTTGTTCATAGTCAGTGAAGACTATTATTGTGAAAAATACAGAAAATATATTTCCCATTTAATTTAAAATCTTCTTTTGTAGAAATAATATTGAAATGGTGTAAAATTGATGGTAAAATTATTATTAATCAAATGAAGTATACCCCTTTAATCAAACTGATTACAAGGACAAATATAATATGCTTGTTTCTTGAATAGTTTTATATCCACATTCCATGAATATATTTTGTTATGGAAAATCAAATAGTGCTAAAATGATTATTTATTATAAATAAAGATCTATATCTATTAATGTTCCCACTGATACATCCATTCAACAATTCTTCTACATGTTTAATGTTTTTAAGATATTTTTGTAGAACTTTCAGTAATTGTTTGACTATATATATATAAGGAGGTTCTCTCTAAATACAATATTATTAATCTTGCCACGTTGGCCCAGGGTCAACCACAAAGCTACTGGTGGATGTATTTGTATGTCCACAATATATATAATATATTGTAGTAGTCAGCCCCTTGTTTCTTTCATCTACAGATTCAAAAGTTATTTTCCAATTAATATCCAATATTTATGTTCATTGACATTAAATGCAGTCCAATATTGATTCAGTAATTAATTTCAGATCTATTGCCCTTGATCATCAAATTGATTTGAAATTTATACACAATTTGACCTGTTTGAAAACCTCTACGACAGACTGAACTTTATAAATGTTATGAGATAATTTTCAACAATTTGTAATAATTACTTAAAGAGTTATTGATCTTGATTGCTATGAAAAATCTTGTTGATACTCTAGCAACTAATACTTCTAACAGATTTGCTTATAATTTAACGCATTGTAAATACTAGTGAGAATAAAAAGTTTATTGATTTCAATGTGTTCATAATAACCGGTGATCAAATAATGTTATATATTTATGTAAAAAAAATACCGGTTTTGTTTTAACATTATGTTTAACATTAATTACTTGTAAAATGAAATATGGTATTAAAGTTTTTGATCCTTATTTGAGGGTTTTTTAATCATCCATCCTCAGCTGAAAATATACACGGAATATGGTCAAACATGCCAGTCTCACCTATATCTTTTAATGCAAAAATCTTTTAATGAACCTTTTTTTAATCCTAGTTAATCCAAGCCAGGAGATTATCTACTGTAGATATTTTGATATTGTTTTCTTAATTAATCATTTTAGCATGGATTAAACCGTGAAATAAATATTGCTCGTATTAGAAAAATCCTAATTTCGAGGACTGCATGTTATGAGAAAATGTGTCCGTGGCGTGCATCCCTGGTTTCAGTTGGCAATTTTCTTTTGTCCCTCGCCTTCTGAATACTTGTAGGTGATTTATAATTGGTTCCTCCGTCCGTCTGTTCGTCAGAATTTTGGGACACAGCAACTCCGTTCTAATTGAGCTAAAATTTTCTGTCTTGGTGTAGTTGTTCTTTGGATGAATGTGGTGACTCGTTCGACGACAGTGAGGATTTGTCCAAACACAGAAAAGTAATTCCATTTTTCGGTGTTTTGTAACATAACTTTGATTGGGTGTGAATAATGAAACCTAGTTTCAGTACCTTGATGAACAAGAATTTGCATCACAATCACACACATGCAATTTGCCATTCTGCATACAGAGAACTATCTACTCTACTTGGAGAATAGATCTCTGCCCTAAATGACCGCCATATCCAACAATTATTATACTGTTTAGTACTCTGATTCACATCTGTATATCCACACAAAGACTAGTTAAAGCCTTTCATTAAATGAAAGCAGAATATATACTTCTCAAAATTCTCGAAATATTCTAAGTGTTTTCGACTAAAATCGTCAATTTAGGACTTAACTTGTCGGTCAACTAGCGGTAGTATGAAGCTGACCATCACCAGAATGATGGATACCAAGTATCACCCAGTAGCATAAATCACAGAAAAACGACTTCTAGACAAAAGTCTAGTTTTTTCCGGCAGTTTCGGTCCGATTACGACATTCAAACTCAGTCATCATTATGGTGTAAAGGTGATATATTTGAACGTTTTTTTTTAATCGGATAAAAACTGTGACCTCTATAGGTACCACAAGCTAAAACGCGATTTTTCGTACAATCAGGTGCCATAATTCAGGAAGTTGCTGTCGGATATGCGTAAATATCGAAAAGAACCAAGATCTTGAGATTATAAACATGCATTTCAAGTTTCATCAAAATCGGGTGAAAATCCCCTTGTATATACTTTCAGACCGCAAGTTATTCCGGGCATAGAGATTTACCATTATAGGTTTATAAACATGCTTTTGGGGTCATTCTCTTTTTTGAAGATACCCAGTAGTGTTAACTGGCCCCTTAAAGCGGTAAAAAAGATGGCCAACATCCACCAATTCAACGTACAAGAAAATCCTAAACTTTTGATTTAAGACCCTATGTAAAGTAATGTTTTTTGTGGCCATTAGAAGATATAACCAGTCGTATTAACTGGTCCCGTAAAGCGGTAGAAGTGGTAAAATCCAAGATGCCCAATCAATGTAAAAGAAAATCAAAAACGGTTGATTTTTAAGACCTTATAAATGTATAATGAACATATAAATTAATGCTTTTGGTGGTGGTGGTGGGGGGCATTCTTTCATATACTAGGTGTTAACTGGTCTCTTATAACTGTTAAAGTCTGTCATTGAGTCGACTGGCGTGGTTTCGAATCCCCGGTTGTACGTGGCAATGAGTAGGATTGCCTGTCCAACCTCGTGGGTTTTCTCCGGGTCCTCCGGTTTCCTCCCACTGCTAAAGACCCTACGCGCAAGCGAATTATGTAAATAAAATTAAAAAATATGTTAGTCCCGAAATGACCTAGTTTGTGTCCAGTGGACGTTAAACCCCATTTCTCTCTCTCTTATACCTGTTTAGGGGAATTAATACTCCCCTCAACCTACGACCGAGAACCCAAATTTACGTATAGATTTAATTCTTCACTGCATCATCATAATATAGCAACTTTGGTATCTGAACTAAAGTTTTTGGGGTCAATAATTCGAATAAGATATGCCCTAGGTGGCCCCTTATGCCAACCACGTGACATCTAACCCAAATTTACGAATATTCGTAACTCTGCACTACTTCATCACATACTGGCATAATTATTTGGTATGTATATGGTTTTTTTGTCCCTACCCACAATAACCTGATGTCGTGGAGGATGAGTGAAGCAAGGCAAGCAAATAGATGTGAAAGAAATTATTTACCAATTTGTTCTTCATAGAATGAAGCGTGATGCCGTCTCTATGATTTCTAATGCACATAATGGCTCTTTCATTAACTGCTGAAATAAACGCCAATCCCAGTTTGCTGGGCTATACAACGTTATAGTTTTCACCAGATTTAATGTTATACACCCGGCAAAAGTTCATTTCATGTGTCTGCTTTTGCTACACAGGCTATTTTACATAAGGATGTGTTTTTTTATTCCTATTCTAATGTACGGAAGCTCACTCTCTAATAATTGTTGGAAGTTTACATATGACATGGTGACACACGGTAACTTACATTCCAAATCAATAATTGTTTACCATACACTCTGGCCAAGAAAAGGGTGCAATAACGTATCAACAATGGCATTGACATCACCATGCAAGAGAACACTTATTTGTAGTTCCCCAGATCACCCGAAAAAATGTTGGTAAACATAAGATTCATAATTGCTAAAAATTAACTAGCTGTAAAATATGATACAAAAAAAATTCCATTAACATATTTGTAGTTTGTAGAACAACACTATCTCATATTTTAAAATGCTGACTTTACTATGTGGCATAAAAAATTAAGCCATAAATGGAATGTGATTTGGCATGTAAACTTCCAAGAATTATCACACAGTGGACTTCTCATACAGTAGAATAAAAACTAAAAAGCCACATCCTTATTTCAAATAGCCTGTACAGCATAATTCAACATAATGTATTTAACTTTGAACTTCCCTGGAGGTTCACGAATGTATATAACATTAAATGTGATGCAAACTATAACGCTATATAGCCCAATAAACTGAGAATGGCGCATATTTTGGCAAAAGTTGCTCAGGTAATGAAAAGCACACTCTTAGAAATCATATGGACGGCAGTAAGGTTCATTCTATGAAGAACAAATTGGTAAATAATTTCTTACAAATCTATTTGTTTGCCTTGCTTCACTCATCCTCCACGTATTCAGGTTATTGGCGGTGGGGCCCAAAAATACATAATACATATGCCAGTAAGCGATAAAGTAGTTCCGAGTTACGAAGACAATTGGATTCGCGTAATTATGTGTTGGAGGAAGGGATACTCCGAAAATGGTATAAGATACTACCATGAGTATATCTTCAAACGAAATATTGACCCCAAAAAACCTTAGTTCATATACCAAAGTTGCTGTATGATGATGCAATGCAGACTGCAGAGTTAAGACTATTCGTAAATTCGGATTCTCGTTCGCAGGTTGTGGGGATAGGGGAACCCTGGATATATCTTCAAATGGAAAGAATGAACCAAAAAGTAAAAACATTAATTTATAGACCAAAATTAATATTTTATAATAAAACAGTGTAGAGTTATGCCCCTTTCTAAATTTGGGTTCCGGGCAGCAGGTTTCTGGGGTAATGATTTCCTAGAAAATGGTTCAAGAGAGCATAGGACATCTATGAAAACCACGCCATTTAAAGGTTTGACCCTGACAACTTAAAGCAAGGCGTGAGTTTCATCTGTTTCTTTTAAAAATTGACGATTTTGTGTTTGTCTAAAGTTGTACCTTTTATAAGAAAATGGCTTAAAAACTTGAACTTTACCCTTAAAATTTAGGACTTTTCGGTACTCCAATTTAGGGTGTCATTCAGTTCACCCGTCACTACCAGAAACCATCAAGAAACTATTCTTGTATTATTTTTTTTAGGGGTTGACCACTTTTTCATAAATTATAAATTGATTGATCTAGATAAGAAGGCCATAGTTCTTGACACCTGAACCGAGCAGTATACAGACTAAACAGGATCTGACCAAAAATATATCGCTGAAACCAACACCAAGCGAGAGTACAAAACTACGTTCTAATATCTTTGAGTAGAATGAAGGTGACACAATACCTCTGAATCCGGTATATTAAAATCACCAGTCCGTGCCAACGGCACATTTCATATAGAATGGATTGATGTTAATGATTTGTTTTTTATCATCTACTCTGGTTGCATAACGTTCATTGGTATACTCCGTAGATGTCTACAGATAAATGTTTTAAGTAAATAATTGTAGTAACAATAATCAAGAAATTAGCAAATAATTTAAAAATCTGAAGGTCTTTATGTGATGTTTACCAATACTAATAATTGTCCTTTAAACAAAAAAAAACCCTTTATTTACATGGAGCTTTTGGTCCAATTAGGCAGTGTTCTTTTTATTATAATTTTGTCTTTCAATTAAACATTGGGCCGCTTTATTTACTCACGTGTCTGCTACTGAACCCGTTTGCCCCGCTAGTCGTCTTTGTTATTACTTGTCTTGTTATCTACAGTTTGATCTTGTAAAAAAAAACAGTGTTACTACCAAACTTAGCTTTTTGTCAACCAAGTGAGTCCAAGTGATAGGGGAATATAAGTTTATGAATACTGGACAACAATTTCATTCAATGAAGCAGAAATGTTTGTATTTTATGGCACGATGAGTTTGACGCCAATAATAATCTCAAAATGTACTTGTGTACCCCAAACTGCATTCACTATTTTCCGTTATTGGTTTCTTGAATAACGTTTTAATGTAGATGAGCAGAGGGATATTTGTAGAAGCTTTATAAAATAAAAATTCGATTTATTCATATTATGCATGCTAAATTTACAATATCTAATCTAGCCCAGGTCCATGATGTCATCTGATAACGCTTCTCCAGTGTCTCATCTCTGGTTCATTTGGGTGCGTGATGGTGGTGGTGGTGATGGTGGTGGAAATCTAAATGACAACCTATCCCGAAACAACCTCTTATGACAATAATAACC